CAGTCAGTCAGTGGTTCTCACAGCTCACTGCTGCAGTCAGTGGTTCTCACAGGTCACTGCTCCAGTCAGTGGTTCTCACAGGTCACTGCTGCAGTCAGTGGTTCTCACAGGTCACTGCTGCAGTCAGTCAGTGGTTCTCACAGCACACTGCTGCAGTCAGTCAGTGGTTCTCACAGGTCACTGCTGCAGTCAGTCAGTGGTTCTCACAGGTAACTGCTGCAGTCAGTGGTTCTCACAGGTCACTGCTGCAGTCAGTCAGTGGTTCTCACAGGTCACTGCTGCAGTCAGTGGTTCTCACAGGTCACTGCTCCAGTCAGTCAGTGGTTCTCACAGGTCACTGCTGCAGTCAGTGGTTCTCACAGGTCACTGCTGCAGTCAGTCAGTGGTTCTCACAGGTCACTGCTGCAGTCAGTCAGTGGTTCTCACAGGTCACTGCTCCAGTCAGTCAGTGGTTCTCACAGGTCACTGCAGTCAGTCAATGGTTCTCACAGCTCACTGCTGCAGTCAGTGGTTCTCACAGCTCACTGCTGCAGTCAGTGGTTCTCACAGGTCACTGCTGCAGTCAGTGGTTCTCACAGGTCACTGCTCCAGTCAGTGGTTCTCACGGGTCACTGCTGCAGTCAGTGGTTCTCACAGGTCACTGCTGCAGTCAGTAGTTCTCACAGGTCACTGCTGCAGTCAGTCAATGGTTCTCACAGGTCACTGCTGCGGTCAGTGGTTCTCACAGGTCACTGCTGCAGTCAGTCAGTGGTTCTCACAGGTCACTGCTCCAGTCAGTGGTTCTCACAGGTCACTGCTTCAGTCAGTGGTTCTCACAGGTCACTGCTCCAGTCAGTCAGTGGTTCTCACAGGTAACTGCTGCAGTCAGTTGTTTTCACAGGTCACTGCTCCAGTCAGTGGTTCTCACAGGTCACTGCTGCAGTCAGTAGTTCTCACAGGTCACTGCTCCAGTCAGTGGTTCTCACAGGTCACTGCTGCGGTCAGTGGTTCTCACAGGTCACTGCTGCAGTCAGTCAGTGGTTCTCACAGGTCACTGCAGTCAGTCAGTGGTTCTCACAGGTCACTGCTGCAGTTTGTGGTTCTCACAGTCACTGCTGCAGTCAGTCAGTGGTTCTCACAGTCGATGCTGTAGTCAGTCAGTGGTTCTCACAGGTCACTGCTGCAGGCATTGGTTCCCACAGTCGATGCTGTAGTCAGTCAGTGGTTCTCACAGGTCACTGCTCCAGTCAGTCAGTGGTTCTCACAGGTAACTGCTCCAGTCAGTGGTTCTCACAGGTCACTGCTGCAGTCAGTCAGTGGTTCTCACAGGTAACTGCTCCAGTCAGTGGTTCTCACAGATCACTGCTCCAGTCAGTCAATGGTTCTCACAGGTCACTGCTGCAGTCAGTCAATGGTTCTCACAGGTCACTGCTCCAGTCAGTCAGTGGTTCTCACAGATCACTGCTCCAGTCAGTCAGTGGTTCTCACAGATCACTGCTGCAGTCAGTCAGTGGTTCTCACAGCTCACTGCTGCAGTCAGTCAGTGGTTCTCACAGGTCACTGCTCCAGTCAGTCAGTGGTTCTCACAGGTAACTGCTCCAGTCAGTGGTTCTCACAGATCACTGCTCCAGTCAGTCAGTGGTTCTCACAGGTAACTGCTCCAGTCAGTGGTTCTCACAGGTCACTGCTGCAGTCAGTCAATGGTTCTCACAGGTCACTGCTGCGGTCAGTGGTTCTCACAGATCACTGCTCCAGTCAGTCAATGGTTCTCACAGGTCACTGCTGCAGTCAGTCAATGGTTCTCACAGGTCACTGCTCCAGTCAGTAGTTCTCACAGGTCACTGCTGCAGTCAGTCAGTGGTTCTCACAGGTCACTGCTCCAGTCAGTGGTTCTCACAGATCACTGCTGCAGTCAGTCAGTGGTTCTCACAGGTAACTGCTCCAGTCAGTGGTTCTCACAGATCACTGCTGCAGTCAGTCAGTGGTTCTCACAGGTCACTGCTGCAGTCAGTCAGTGGTTCTCACAGCTCACTGCTGCAGTCAGTCAGTGGTTCTCACAGCTCACTGCTGCAGTCAGTCAGTGGTTCTCACAGGTCACTGCTGCAGTCAGTGGTTCTCACAGGTCACTGCTGCGGTCAGTGGTTCTCACAGATCACTGCTCCAGTCAGTCAATGGTTCTCACAGGTCACTGCTGCAGTCAGTCAATGGTTCTCACAGGTCACTGCTCCAGTCAGTAGTTCTCACAGGTCACTGCTGCAGTCAGTCAGTGGTTCTCACAGGTCACTGCTCCAGTCAGTGGTTCTCACAGATCACTGCTGCAGTCAGTCAGTGGTTCTCACAGGTAACTGCTCCAGTCAGTGGTTCTCACAGATCACTGCTGCAGTCAGTCAGTGGTTCTCACAGGTCACTGCTGCAGTCAGTCAGTGGTTCTCACAGCTCACTGCTGCAGTCAGTCAGTGGTTCTCACAGCTCACTGCTGCAGTCAGTCAGTGGTTCTCACAGGTCACTGCTCCAGTCAGTCAGTGGTTCTCACAGGTAACTGCTTCTGTCAGTGGTTCTCACAGATCACTGCTCCAGTCAGTCAGTGGTTCTCACAGGTCACTGCTGCAGTCAGTCAGTGGTTCTCACAGGTCACTGCTGCAGTCAGTGGTTCTCACAGGTCACTGCTGCAGTCAGTGGTTCTCACAGGTCACTGCTTCAGTCAGTCAGTGGTTCTAACAGGTCACTGCTGCAGTCAGTGGTTCTCACAGGTCACTGCTGCAGTCAATGGTTCTCACAGGTCACTGCTGCAGTCAGTCAATGGTTCTCACAGGTCACTGCTGCAGTCAGCCAGTGGTTCTCAAAGGTCACTTCTGCAGTCAGTCAGTGGTTCTCACAGGTCACTGCTGCAGTCAGTGGTTCTCACAGGTCACTGCTCCAGTCAGTCAGTGGTTCTCACAGGTCACTGCAGTCAGTCAATGGTTCTCACAGCTCACTGCTGCAGTCAGTGGTTCTCACAGCTCACTGCTGCAGTCAGTGGTTCTCACAGCTCACTGCTGCAGTCAGTGGTTCTCACAGGTCACTGCTGCAGTCAGTGGTTCTCACAGGTCACTGCTCCAGTCAGTCAGTGGTTCTCACAGGTCACTGCTGCAGTCAGTCAGTGGTTCTCACTGGTCACTGCTGCAGTCAGTGGTTCTCACAGGTCACTGCTGCAGTCAGTCAGTGGTTCTCACAGCTCACTGCTGCAGTCAGTGGTTCTCACAGGTCACTGCTCCAGTCAGTGGTTCTCACAGGTCACTGCTGCAGTCAGTGGTTCTCACAGGTCACTGCTGCAGTCAGTCAGTGGTTCTCACAGCACACTGCTGCAGTCAGTCAGTGGTTCTCACAGGTCACTGCTGCAGTCAGTCAGTGGTTCTCACAGGTAACTGCTCCAGTCAGTGGTTCTCACAGATCACTGCTCCAGTCAGTCAGTGGTTCTCACAGATCACTGCTCCAGTCAGTGGTTCTCAAAGATCACTGCTCCAGTCAGTCAGTGGTTCTCACAGGTCACTGCTCCAGTCAGTGGTTCTCACAGATCACTGCTCCAGTCAGTGGTTCTCACAGATCACTGCTCCAGTCAGTCAATGGTTCTCACAGGTCACTGCTGCAGTCAGTCAATGGTTCTCACAGGTCACTGCTGCGGTCAGTGGTTCTCACAGGTCACTGCTGCAGTCAGTCAGTGGTTCTCACAGGTAACTGCTCCAGTCAGTGGTTCTCACAGATCACTGCTCCAGTCAGTCAATGGTTCTCACAGGTCACTGCTGCAGTCAGTCAATGGTTCTCACAGGTCACTGCTGCGGTCAGTGGTTCTCACAGGTCACTGCTGCAGTCAGTCAGTGGTTCTCACAGGTCACTGCTGCAGTCAGTGGTTCTCACAGGTAACTGCTCCAGTCAGTGGTTCTCACAGATCACTGCTGCAGTCAGTCAGTGGTTCTCACAGGTCACTGCTGCAGTCAGTCAGTGGTTCTCACAGCTCACTGCTGCAGTCAGTCAGTGGTTCTCACAGCTCACTGCTGCAGTCAGTCAGTGGTTCTCACAGGTCACTGCTGCAGTCAGTGGTACGTCACAGAGCTGTATGTCAATGACCCCAGTCACACACTGACACTACCAGCAGACGTTTCTAGAAAGCCTCTCATTATTTCGTGTTGATGTTCCACCAAAGCTGCCGGAATTTTCATCTAACTAGGGAACTCTGGAGCTGACAGAAATCTGCCCAGGAATTCTCCTTACAGTCTGGGAATTATTTAGTACAAGCACATCATCGATTGGCTGCTTTAGTCACGTTTCTACACGACTTGGCTCTGAGTTATTTCCCTTATGGTTGAAATGCTGCATGTTTTGTTCCTAGCTATATTGACTGTCTCTATCATGTACCACTGTACCTCTCTGTATCATGTAAAACTGTACCTCTCTGTATCATGTAAAACTGTACCTCTCTGTATCATGTAAAACTGTACCTCTCTGTATCATGTACCCCTGTACGTCTGTGTATGTACCACTGTACCTCTCTGTATCATGTACCACTGTACCTCTCTGTATCATGTAAAACTGTACCTCTCTGTATCATGTAAAACTGTACCTCTCTGTATCATGTACCCCTGTACGTCTGTGTATGTACCACTGTACCTCTCTGTATCATGTACCACTGTACCTCTCTGTATCATGTAAAACTGTACCTCTCTGTATCATGTAAAACTGTACCTCTCTGTATCATGTACCCCTGTACGTCTGTGTATGTACCACTGTACCTCTCTGTATCATGTACCACTGTAGATATAACATCTACAGCTACATCCAGCTGTAAAGAGGTCATCTACAGCAACAAATTGGTGGATGTAAACATAAGGAGCTATCAACAAAGGAGTGGGGGTGGGGTGGATACAAGTATAACTCTCCCAGCAAGAGGAAGTTGTAATGTGCCATGATACTCACACACACCAACCAACCAAACGCCATGAAGCAAGCAGAAATTGACACGCACCAACCAACCAAACGCCATGAAACAAGCAGAAATCATCCAGTTTAATGCTTACAATACTGACATAGGCTGTGCATCAACTGTTCACAATGAACTGGCATTTCTTCACTGAAAGACTTGGTTAAAACAGATTGGAATCAACAGATGTCTGTCTTAGTTTTATATGGCAGACTTTCAACAGACCAGACTAAAACAGAGTAAAACAACTGTTTGACAGGCCCTGACAGGCTGCTCACCTGACAGACAGGCTGCTCACCTGCCTGACAGGCTGTTCACCTGCCTGACAGGCTGTTCACCTGCCTGACAGGCTGCTCACCTGCCTGACAGGCTGCTCACCAGACAGGCTGTTCACCTGTCTGACAGGCCTGCCTGGGTTTGGTTGTCCAAGACAGCAGGAGGGATCTGTAGGATCCAGCCAGCCGTCCCAGTGTTTGACCCATCCTCTTGAGCAGCAGACGTGACATCTGACGTCATCTCCGCCACCTGAGGGAAGTCAAAGTTGTCTGCCCAAGCCAGGGTGAAGCTGGGCAATTCCTGCTCTACTTTCTCCTGCAGCTGGGCATGTAGCTGGGATTGTTGTAGCTGTGATTGTTGTAGTTGGGACTGCTGTAGCTGTGATTGTTGTAGTTGGGACTGCTGTAGCTGTGATTGTTGTAGTTGGGACTGCTGTAGCTGTGATTGTTGTAGTTGGGACTGCTGTAGCTGTGATTGTTGTAGTTGGGACTGCTGTAGCTGTGATTGTTGTAGCTGGGACTGTTGTAGCTGTGACTGTTGAAGCTGGGACTGTTGTAGCTGGGACTGCTGTAGCTGTGATTGTTGTAGTTGGGACTGCTGTAGCTGTGATTGTTGTAGTTGGGACTGCTGTAGCTGTGATTGTTGTAGCTGTGACTGCTGTAGCTGGGACTGCTGTAGCTGGGATTGATCCTGCAGCTGTTGGCCCATGTTTGTATTGCTGTCATTCTGTGCCAACTCCTTCTCGTCCATCTGTAAGATGGTGCCAGTGAGCCCCATGACTGACGGGGTCGTGTCACTGACACATGTCATGTCTGTGGACTTGGGAAGCTGGGTTAGGACCTGCAGGACAGTAGAGTTGCTCTCTGTGCCGTAGCAGGGCTCTGGGTGACAGCTGAGCAAAGAGCTGTCTGCTGTCTTGCTGTCTAGAGGCTGGTAGACTTGCTTGGTGCTGTCCTTGACCAGCGTCCACTGGAGAGGCTTGTTGAGGCCCTGGAGGTTGAGCAGGTTCTGGCCGTCCACAGCGATGACGATGTTGGTGCTGGCCAGTGTCTGGTCAACCTGACCCAGGCTGGCCAGACTGTTCAAGAGCTCAGAGACTGGGATGGTCTGGAACAGCTGGTTGACCGGCTGGACTAGCTGGTTGACCGGCTGTACCAGCTGCTGTTGGAGGGCAAACTGCTGGAAGTGCTGGATCTGTACCGGGGTCTGACCCTGATCCTGCAGCACGGGTTGACCCGGGTTCTGGAGCAGCTGGTGCTGCTTCAAGAACTGCTGCGCCTGCTGCTGTGTGTGCTGCTGCGCCTGCTGCTGCTGCATGTGTGCTTGCACTTGTGCAGAGGTGAGCAGCTGGTTCTGGAGGGGGAAGGTTTTGATGGGCACTGTGCTGTAGATGACGTCCTCTGTGTCGTACAGCGTGCTCTGTGTGCTGCTGATGGACTGGCTGGGGAACAAGATGGGGGTCATGGTCTGGATGTTGGGCTGGATGTTGGGCTGGATGTTGGGCTGGATGTTGGGCTGGATGTTGGGCTGGATGTTGGGCTGGATGGGCCGCTGAACTTTGAGGATGCTGACTGGTGAGGCAGCAGGCAGCAGGGCCTGCTCTTGTTTGACCAACAGGGCTGTGGGGCTGGGCTTCTGCTGTATCAGCCTGTTGACCAGCGGCCCCGCAGCTGGCTTGGCTGAGCCGGTCAGCACTTTCTTGGCCTTGGTATTGGCTGGAGCCATCTTAACTGGCTCGGCCACTGGGACTCCGTCAGGGTGAACCGTTTTGTTGTGGTAGTCCAGGAACTCTTGTTTCTTGAAGACCATGAGGCAGGCGGCGCAGCTGTAGGGACAGACTTTCTTCTGTGACTCATACATCTCCTTGCGGTGGTTGGTGGTGTAGTGGCGCCGCAGGTGGTCTCTGCGCACAAAGGTCTGGGGGCAGTGCTCACACAAGAAAGGTCTGCATGGAAATATAACAAGAAGAATCAGACAGTGTTCACACAAGAAAGGTCTGCATGGAAATATAACAAGAAGAATCAGACAGTGTTCACACAAGAAAGGTCTGCATGGAAATATAACAAGAAGAATCAGACAGTGTTCACACAAGAAAGGTCTGCATGGAAATATAAGAATCAGACAGTGCTCACACAAGAAAGGTCTGCATGGAAATATAAGAATCAGACAGTGCTCACACAAGAAAGGTCTGCATGGAAATATAAGAATCAGACAGTGCTCACACAAGAATGGTCTGCATGGAAATATAAGAATCAGACAGTGCTCACACAAGAATGGCCTGCAGGGAAATATAACAAGAAGAATCAGACAGTGCTCACACAAGAAAGGCCTGCATGGAAATATAAGAATCAGACAGTGCTCACACAAGAAAGGCCTGCATGGAAATATAACAAGAAGAATCAGACAGTGCTCACACAAGAAAGGCCTGCATGGAAATATAAGAATCAGACAGTGTTCACACAAGAAAGGCCTGCATGGAAATATAACAAGAAGAATCAGACAGTGCTCACACAAGAAAGGCCTGCATGGAAATATAACAAGAAGAATCAGACAGTGCTCACACAAGAAAGGCCTGCATGGAAATATAACAAGAAGAATCAGACAGTGCTCACACAAGAAAGGCCTGCATGGAAATATAACAAGAAGAATCAGACAGTGCTCACACAAGAAAGGCCTGCATGGAAATATAAGAATCAGACAGTGTTCACACAAGAATGGTCTGCATGGAAATATAAGAATCAGACAGTGCTCACACAAGAATGGTCTGCATGGAAATATAAGAATCAGACAGTGCTCACACAAGAATGGCCTGCAGGGAAATATAACAAGAAGAATCAGACAGTGCTCACACAAGAAAGGCCTGCATGGAAATATAACAAGAAGAATCAGACAGTGCTCACACAAGAAAGGCCTGCATGGAAATATAACAAGAAGAATCAGACAGTGCTCACACAAGAAAGGCCTGCATGGAAATATAAGAATCAGACAGTGTTCACACAAGAAAGGCCTGCATGGAAATATAACAAGAAGAATCAGACAGTGCTCACACAAGAAAGGCCTGCATGGAAATATAAGAATCAGACAGTGTTCACACAAGAAAGGTCTGCATGGAAATATAACAAGAAGAATCAGACAGTGCTCACACAAGAAAGGCCTGCATGGAAATATAAGAATCAGACAGTGTTCACACAAGAAAGGTCTGCATGGAAATATAAGAATCAGACAGTGTTCACACAAGAAAGGCCTGCATGGAAATATAAGAATCAGACAGTGTTCACACAAGAAAGGCCTGCATGGAAATATAAGAATCAGACAGTGTTCACACAAGAAAGGTCTGCATGGAAATATAACAAGAAGAATCAGACAGTGCTCACACAAGAAAGGCCTGCATGGAAATATAAGAATCAGACAGTGTTCACACAAGAAAGGTCTGCATGGAAATATAAGAATCAGACAGTGTTCACACAAGAAAGGCCTGCATGGAAATATAAGAATCAGACAGTGTTCACACAAGAAAGGTCTGCATGGAAATATAACAAGAAGAATCAGACAGTGTTCACACAAGAAAGGTCTGCATGGAAATATAAGAATCAGACAGTGTTCACACAAGAAAGGTCTGCATGGAAATATAAGAATCAGACAGTGTTCACACAAGAAAGGTCTGCATGGAAATATAACAAGAAGAATCAGACAGTGCTCACACAAGAAAGGCCTGCATGGAAATATAACAAGAAGAATCAGACAGTGCTCACACAAGAATGGTCTGCATGGAAATATAACAAGAAGAATCAGACAGTGCTCACACAAGAAAGGCCTGCATGGAAATATAAGAATCAGACAGTGTTCACACAAGAAAGGTCTGCATGGAAATATAAGAATCAGACAGTGTTCACACAAGAAAGGTCTGCATGGAAATATAACAAGAAGAATCAGACAGTGTTCACACAAGAAAGGTCTGCATGGAAATATAAGAATCAGACAGTGTTCACACAAGAAAGGTCTGCATGGAAATATAAGAATCAGACAGTGTTCACACAAGAAAGGTCTGCATGGAAATATAACAAGAAGAATCAGACAGTGTTCACACAAGAAAGGTCTGCATGGAAATATAAGAATCAGACAGTGTTCACACAAGAAAGGTCTGCATGGAAATATAAGAATCAGACAGTGTTCACACAAGAAAGGTCTGCATGGAAATATAAGAATCAGACAGTGTTCACACAAGAAAGGTCTGCATGGAAATATAAGAATCAGACAGTGTTCACACAAGAAAGGTCTGCATGGAAATATAACAACAAGAATCAGACAGTGCTCACACAAGAAAGGTCTATAAATAACAAGAAGAATCAAGCCAGGATACAAAGGGAAGTAACAGCATCAATGTTGAGTTGCAGCCTGAGGAAATTGGGACATTTTTCCTGTTCACATCAAAATTTCAATAAAGAAAATTCAGTTTAAGGTCAACTGTGAGCTAAAGGTCAACTGTGAGCTAAAGGTCAACTGTGAGCTAAAGATGTGAGGTTACCTCTCCTTGGTGTGGGTGATCTTGTGTCTGCGGACATCCTTAAGTGTGGCAAATTTTTTCCCACACTCACTGCAGCTCTGCTTGGGGGGCTTGCATGGCTCCGGCTTGTAGCGGTTGTGGGAGTTGACGTGTTTCTTCAGCTCGTCCTTAGACAGGAAGTTGGCCTTACAGATGAGGCAGGTGAGGGAGTCGCCCTCGTTGGCCTCGTGCTTGGCCAGGTGAAAGGTCAGTGTTGACCTGGGGAAACAAAATGGCTGCCTCAAGCATTACAAGGTTTAGGGAAATCTAGCTGTGATTGTTTTGTCTGATCCAAACTACTACATCAAATAAAATTAGGCAGTGCTGTAATTAGTTGGTTTTTTTTTACTTATTGAAGAAAGCAGTGAAAAAAGCATCATCACTCTCTTCAATACTGTAACTAATCTTAGCAGTCATTCCAGTTTTTTGCCTGCTGTTCTATAAACTCTCCTGGTGAACTGTACAGCCACCAGGAGAAGCTTTTAGTATCTTGTCTTAACTAGATCTACAGAGATTAGTCTAATAAAAATGGTTTGGATGTGACTTGAATCAACTGAAATGACTGATAGACTTGAGTACTGACTTGTAGAGATATGACTTCCCACACACTGTGCAGGTGTAAGCCTCCCTGTTGCTGTCATGCACGGACAGGTGGTTCTTCAGGTGGTCGATGCGGTTAAAAGTCCTGGGACAAAGCTTGCACCTGGGGCAGTGAGAAACAGAAATACAGTTAGTAGCAGGGAGAAACAGTAATACAGTCAGTAGCACCTGGGGCAGTGAGAAACAGTAATATAGTCATTAGCACCTGAGGTAATTTAATTAATTTAAGTGGCCTATAGTGGTGTGATACAACTAATATGATGTTGTTGGACTACAACAACTTATATGATGGTGTTGGACTACAACAACAACAACTTACTTGATGTTGGACTACAACAACTTATATGATGGTGTTGGACTACAACAACAAAACTTACTTGATGTTGTTGGACTACAACAACTTATATGATGGTGTTGGACTACAACAACAACAACTTACTTGATGTTGTTGGACTACAACAACTTATATGATGGTGTTGGACTACAACAACAACAACTTACTTGATGTTGTTGGACTACAACAACTTATATGATGGTGTTGGACTACAACAACAACAACTTACTTGATGTTGTTGGACTACAACAACTTATATGATGGTGTTGGACTACAACAACAACAACTTACTTGATGTTGTTGGACTACAACAACTTATATGATGGTGTTGGACTACAACAACAACAACTTACTTGATGTTGTTGGACTACAACAACTTATATGATGGTGTTGGACTACAACAACAACAACTTACTTGATGTTGTTGGACTACAACAACTTATATGATGGTGTTGGACTACAACAACAACAACTTACTTGATGTTGTTGGACTACAACAACTTATATGATGGTGTTGGACTACAACAACAACAACTTACTTGATGTTGTTGGACTACAACAACTTATATGATGGTGTTGGACTACAACAACAACTTACTTGATGTTGTTGGACTACAACAACTTATATGATGGTGTTGGACTACAACAACAACAACTTACTTGATGTTGTTGGACTACAACAACTTATATGATGGTGTTGGACTACAACTACAACAACTTACTTGATGTTGTTGGGCTTCTCATGGACCACCATGTGTCTCTGGAACTTGAACTTGGAAGCAAAAGTCTTGCTGCAGCCGTCGTAGGTACAGTTGTAAGGCTGGACGTTGGTGTGGACGCTCTCATGCACCAGCAGCTGCTCCTGGCTGCACAGTGTCCTGTCACAGAACTTGCACCTGAACGTTTCCTTTGGCACCTTGACCACGTGCTCCTTGTTCTTGCTGCCCTTTGGCCGACCTGGCCCACGCCTGGGTGAGGCTTGAATGGCCGTGCCATCCCCGGGCATAACTTGGTCGAGGGCAGGCAGGGAAGCTAACTCTGTGCTGCTCTGGATGTCCCTCATGTCATGAATGATGTCATCGCAGGGAACATTCAAGCCGTGCAGATCAGACTCCAAAAATTCTTGCGGTATCTTCACCACTTTAACCGGAGAGATGAACGGCTCTGTGATTTTGGATGGCTTCCCCTTTCTCTTGCGAGCCAAGTGAAGTGAAGTTCCCCGCTGGGCCCTGACAGCCCAGGCCGTGTTGGCCCCCCTGGCCTGCAAGAGTCTCCTGTCTGAGCCGTCCAAGCTCTCCTCCTCGTCAGTAGCCTGACGGCAGATGTGTGAGTCCAGCTGGCGGGGGCGAGTGAATGCCGTCAAGCAAACGTCACAAACGTATGGCTTCAGATCGCTGGCTTGTGGGCAGCCATTCTCAAACTGCTGGGGCAGGCAGACATTTTTCTCTGGACTAGTCAGCTGGTAGGGAGGGCTCTGACCTGGTGAACTTTGACCTTCTGACTTAATCTCACCATTCCTGTTTATGGCTGGTGTCACTGCCTTGTCTGGAAAATGAGAAAAAACTGTCTGTACACATTTATATAAGCACCAGGCAACTGTCTGTACACATTTAAATACACATCAAGCAACTGTCTGTACACATTTAAATAAGCACCAGGCAACTGTCTGTACACATTTAAATACACATCAAGCAACTGTCTGTACACATTTAAATACACATCAAGCAACTGTCTGTACACATTTAAATACACATCAAGCAACTGTCTGTACACATTTAAAAAGGCACCAGATAACTGTCTGTACACATTTAAATACGCACCAGACAACTGTCTGTACACATTTAAATAAATGAGTAGCCTGGCTAATGAGTAGCCTGCCTTGTAAAAATATCTGACCTTTGTTGATTGGCTCCTTGGGATACAGTATTTGTTTACCAATGGCTTTGGCATAAGCTGCGGAGTACCAAACTCTCAACTCTCCACCTGGCTCAATATTCTGTTGGGTTCAAAGGTCACATCATTTGTAACTACTTACAAATTCAGACTATAAACATTGCCTACCTATCAGGTAACACCAACCTAACCTACCTATAAGGTAACACCAATCTAGTCTACCAATCAGGTAACACCAACCTAGCCGACCTATACGTTAACACCAATCTAGCCTACCTATAAGTTAACACCAACATTGCCTACCTATAAGTTAACACCAATCTAGCCTACCTATAAGTTAACACCAACATTGCCTACCTATAAGTTAACACCAATCTAGCCTACCTATAAGTTAACACCAACCTTGCCTACCTATCAGGTAACATTGCCTACCTATCAGGTGAGAGAAATAGTTCCCTACCTTGCAGGTGACAAAAAAAATCTGCCTGTTGTTTTCAAAAGCCGCCATGTTCTGGTTAGAGAAGAGACTAGCTGGTCTGACGAACATCATCCAGTTGCATTTGTTCTCATCAGACAGGTCCAGGTACCTGCAAGCCCCACCTACACTGGACACCTGCACAGTGAAAACATGGCTGCTGGTTGCACTACTCACTGACTTCAAATATTTAGGGCTATAACAGACCACTTCCATACAAAAAAATAATGACTTGTTTAGTTAATACAATTAGCAGCTATTCAAAACATAGCTGGATTTTGTAATCTTTTAGATTCTGAAAATATGTACTAAATTAAAGATTTTGTATTTAGCTACCAAGAATATGATTTAAATTAATTGTATGAGTAGGTTCTTGAAGAGGTTTGAACCTCACCTGAAACTCCAGAGACCCAGAGGGTTGAGATGGCCTTGAGTTAGTCAACACACCTTCAACCGGACCAAACAGCGTTCGAGATTTGATCAGTTTCTTGGCAAACACTCCTTTCTTGGCTAGAGAGAAGGAATTATTTTTACAGTGCTCATCTATGTATTCAATAGTCAATACATTCTATCAGCATCAACGCTTATTATATTCAATACATTCTATCAGGATCAATGCTTAGGTTTAACAAAGTCAAAACCTTTATGTTGTTTTGGTGTATACCAACCATATAGTGTTCAACCAAACAATTTGGAAATACTTTCTCTATTCGAAGTCCTACAACCAACCTTCATTGGACAACATAAAGTAACAAACATAGGGTGCTGATAGTCCCAACACAATCAACCTTCATTGGACAACATAAAGTAACAAACATAGGGTGCTGATAGTCCCAACCTTCATTGGACAACATAAAGTAACAAACATAGGGTGCTGATAGTCCCAACCTTCATTGGACAACATAAAGTAACAAACATAGGGTGCTGATAGTCCCAACCTTCAGTGGACAACATAAAGTAACAAACATAGAGTGCTGATAGTCCCAACCTTCACTGGACAACATAAAGTAACAAACATAGGGTGCTGATAGTCCCAACCTTCACTGGACAACATAAAGTAACAAACATAGAGTGCTGATAGTCCCAACCTTCATTGGACAACATAAAGTAACAAACATAGGGTGCTGATAGTCCCAATACAACCAACCTTCATTGGACAACATAAAGTAACAAACATAGGGTGCTGATAGTCCCAACACAACCAACCTTCATTGGACAACATAAAGTAACAAACATAGGGTGCTGATAGTCCCAACCTTCAGTGGACAACATAAAGTAACAAACATAGAGTGCTGATAGTCCCAACCTTCATTGGACAACATAAAGTAACAAACATAGAGTGCTGATAGTCCCAACACAATCAACCTTCAGTGGACAACATAAAGTAACAAACATAGGGTGCTGATAGTCCCAACCTTCATTGGACAACATAAAGTAACAAACATAGGGTGCTGATAGTCCCAACACAATCAACCTTCAGTGGACAACATAAAGTAACAAACATAGGGTGCTGATAGTCCCAACACAACCAACCTTCATTGGACAACATAAAGTAACAAACATAGGGTGCTGATAGTCCCAACACAATCAACCTTCATTGGACAACATAAAGTAACAAACATAGGGTGCTGATAGTCCCAATACAACCAACCTTCATTGGACAACATAAAGTAACAAACATAGGGTGCTGATAGTCCCAATACAACCAACCTTCATTGGACAACATAAAGTAACAAACATAGGGTGCTGATAGTCCCAACACAACCAACCTTCATTGGACAACATAAAGTAACAAACATAGGGTGCTGATAGTCCCAATACAACCAACCTTCATTGGACAACATAAAGTAACAAACATAGGGTGCTGATAGTCCCAATACAACCAACCTTCATTGGAGAACAAGTTGATATCCTTGGCTCGTTTGAAGGTTAAAACTTTAGGGAGGGAAAGACAGGCTTTAGATGGGGGAGAGTTATCATGAGTGATGGTCATGTCACCCCCATGAATACAACACTCCCCAATGTTGCACACCCCACACTCCTCACACCCTGCAGAGAAAAATCAGTCAACTTGTTCATTTCTACAACAGGAGAAAAATCAGTCAACTTGTTCATTTCTACACCAGGAGAAAAATCAGTCAACTTGTTCATTTCTACACCAGGAGAAAAATCAGTCAACTTGTTCATTTCTACACCAGGAGAAAAATCAGTCAACTTGTTCATTTCTACACAAGGAGAAAAATCAGTCAACTTGTTCATTTCTACACCAGGAGAAAAATCAGTCAACTTGTTCATTTCTACACCAGGAGAAAAATCAGTCAACTTGTTCATTTCTACACCAGGAGAAAAATCAGTCAACTTGTTCATTTCTACACCAGGAGAAAAATCAGTCAACTTGTTCATTTCTACACCAGGTGAAAAATTAGTCAACTTGTTCATTTCTACACCAGGAGAAAAATCAGTCAACTTGTTCATTTCTACACCAGGAGAAAAAAAATGTTTTTAATATAGCTTTTACGTTATACAGTAATTACACACCAAAAGTTTCAAGTATTTTTTAATAGCATTCAATACATAGAGCTATGTTACAATGTTGGTATTTTTTACACTTATTTTTTATATTTATCTGATTGGGAAAATTTCACATTTATCAAATTTCAAATTAGCGGTTTCAAACATTACAGAAATCTGTGCAGCTGTGACTACTGTGAGCTTTTCATATTTGATCAAGAAGACAATTCAATCTAACATGCGCTCTTTTGGAAAGTTATATTGCACCTGATAGGTGCTGTTACATAGCACAATAACAAAAACAATCAAAGTCTTACACACATTAAATTACATGGTCATTTAACAAATAGTCGTACTAAGCCAAATCTTACATATAGATTCTGTGATTTCACTGGTGCCATCCTTCACAGTACCATTGGCACAATTTGCTTGCATGATAAAGATGTGTACATCAACAATATCAAGTAAATATAGATCTAGATTTATTCATATTCTGTATCATCGTATGTTCAGAGTTATCTGCAATCAAAATAAAATATGCATATTTATTTCAACTAGGCCTAGATCTATTACTATATTCTATAATGTTTATTGCTTATCTAGATCTGATTATTTTATTATAAACAATGAATGGAATAATTAAGATCTTTAAAAAAATATATAGATCTAAATCTCCAGGGGGGGGGGGGGGGGAAGACGACACTAGTACTAGATTCTAGTAAAAGTATGTTTTCTAAAAATCCCCCCCCCCCTCCAAAGAGATGCCTGGAAGAAACTATCTCCCATTAGCCATAGTGTAGATCCATATAAACTATATAATCCTGACAGTGTGTCTGCTGTTGTTCAAGAGGGGAGGAAAGCAGATCTAGAATTCTAGATCTAGAATCTAGATCTAGGTCGAGTTAGATTCTAGTACATACTCTACATAGTACATACTTACTACATACATACTAATACATAGGCCTAATCTAAGCTAGATTTAGTATTTAGTAGTCTGTCTGTGTTGTAGGAATCTAAAGGGGTGGGGGGCAAAATGAATTAGGCTAATGAAACGGCTACAGGATCTAGATCTAGACTAGTATTAAAAAATGTAGGCCTAGGGGGCCTATAGATCAAGAAATATTTAAGAAACCAAATCCCTAGCAGGCCTCAACAACCCGAGTAGTACCTCATTTTTTCTACTCTTTTTATTAGGCCTACTCGTTCGAGTAGCTCGAGGCCCCTCTAGGGAACTGTGCTTTGGATTTCGGTATCACACTAAGAACAAAGCCTTTAAAATACCTGAAAATAAATTTTAATGTTAAAAGCACATTATAAGCAATTTACTTGTAATCAATATGAACATTAGCTTTTCAAATAACCAGAAAAAATAACAAAAATAATTAATACATTCCGTACTTCCCCCAACAAAAACGACCACTGCATCTTGGGATAGGACGTGTAATTGGGTCAAAATGGCTGCGCCCATTCAATAGAATAACAACAATCATGCTTTAGTCACTGTTGTCAAAAATAAATTGTTTGTGGAATGTCGGGTGATGGGCAAAAGTCTGTGGATACTGTACAAAGAAGTAAAGATATTGCAGCTAAAAGGCAAGCGTTAGATCCGTGTTTAAAGGTCAGATAAAATTTAATCATGAACTTCTCATGTCTTAAAATTTGGCCAATAATTTTTCAAAGTCAAATAATTTCTTTTAAATCAAGGGATGTTACTCATATAATTTTATTTTTCTAGTCTAGATCTAGACTAGCTAGATTTTCTAGAAAATAATGCCATGCTTAGCCCCTATGCCCAAATACTAATTATAGTAGACTGTATCCCTTTAGTCTTGAATCTTTATTATTCTATATATACACAACCTATTCATAACTTTAACCTCACACATTAAAGTAACTGCATCAAATAAATAAATATTGAAAAGAGATTTTTCAAAATTCTTTTTTTTTTATATATTCTAATGTAATGGGTACTGACTTAAGTTTTGTTTCAACTGTAATTTGTTCTTTATCAAACAGTAATGTAAATTTGTCAATTGTTTACTTATGACACAGGAAAATGAAATGACTACGCAGTGCATGAATGAAAATGGGTATAATGGAGAAATGTGTAAGGACTTCTTTGAAAACTACAGAAATTGCAAGAAATTTTGGGTAAAGTTTGATAAGATATGTACTACAAACATCTTGATCACTGGCTGAAAAGATTGATGTTGAATATAATCTAAATTATGATTTCAACATTTCAGTCCTGGGTTATGGACCAGAGAAAAAAACAGGGGATACAACCCTATCTACCCCCACCTGAAGAAAGGGAAAGTGTTAAGAAGGAGTATCTACCCTTGTTGCTTAAAAAGTGATAGTAGTCAAAGTCCAAAATGACACAATATAGTAATATATGAATATGTTTAAGTATTACAAAATGAATTATTAAAAAATCAGTGTTTCATTATGTTGGAGTATATTTTTTAAGCAAAACTCAAGTTATTGTGTTAACAAACACCCCACAAAATACAAACATGTTGACAACAAAATGATAAAGTACACAAGACAATAATAACAAAAGTACTCTTCAATATTTATTTTTTAGATTTTAATATTTGCTCTTTTACCACTTTAACAACATTGTTCTCTTTGAAAAAGACAGTTGCCAATACAAGCACTAAACAAACACCTGTGAAACTAACATGGACCAATCTGTGCTGCCATCCAGAAGTTTCTTGACAAAACATTCTCTATAAAAAGAAATAATTAAAGTTCTTTCAATAAAATTGCCATTTACTTACGTAATATGGTACTGAAAAGTAAACAAGTATTCACAACTAGAAAAACACATTTTCTTAATTTATGGTCATATAATATGGGAGCATTTGTTAAACAACACATGGTTCAAAAGGTTCTATTACATTGGCTGTGTGTACTTTAGCGCATATTTAATTACCTCAGATAATGCTGTAAAAACCAACGAGAAAAGTAAGGAAAGTAGAACTGGAACAGAAGGAACAACATCACTCAAAGGTCTGTGAGTTGTGCCCAAAAAATAGCCGTTTATAAACCATAAACTGAAAAATAATCAATTGCGATAATTTTAAAAATTCAATACAAGAATGTAAAACCCTCACAAAAACAAGTAGAACTTAAGAAGTTATCCTTTGATAAAGGACAGATGGCTTTGTAGACTTCACCTGTTTATGTGACTTGGCATATGGAGGGATAGTGTGGTCAGCACTATGCCCGTCCAGCTTAACCTTCTGTAAGTCAGGTACCCATTATTTAAAGCAGGGTGGGCTGTGACATACTCGCGTCTGGGATCAAAACTTGAAATTTTTGGGTTACCATTCATCTACTCTACCATACTACCACGCCATCTCATTAACTTAACAAAATTGAAGTCATATTGATGATATTGAATTGAGTGCAGGATTTAAAAATAAATTTATCTTTCTTGTATTAAAATCCTTGTGATGGTTGTACATTTTACCTATGTATAATACGTGCAGTCATATTGAGGCAGTTGGCCAAAATAAAGCCAACACTCCCAATCAGGGTTGTTAAGAGCCAGGAAGCAAACAGAAACAGTGCAGAAAACATCAACATCTTTTTGTTGTACCTGGAAAGAAAAAAAAGATTTGTTTGAACTAGAAATAAATCTTGAATAAGGATTCCAACAGAAAATCTAATTGATTTCACTTAAAGATAAAATACTTATTACCTATCAACTTCATCTTTACTCATGGCTGCAAACACAAAAGCCTCTGTGATCCCGTTTATAGCAATTACAAGAACATAAAGGCAATACCAGCGTAACAACACTGGACCTGTAATAATTTTAGAAGTTTTTTATACATCAAATTGTCGTTTTTTAAATGAGTATAATTTTAAACTGACCATGAAGATCTACTAAAAATATATAGGGTTTTGTAGTTTTTATTTAAAAAGCAATAATCACAATATTTAACCATTTTATATTCCACTCCAATACAGCCAATAGATTAAATATTATTTGTAAAACCAAGAGTTAAATATACCATTGGCTCAATATAAAAACATTGTTAACACTAGCATTACTAACAAAGTAAAAGTTCACTCTAAATTTTAAAAAAATCAACATTACCATTCCCAGCTGTAAGTATTTCCCCACCATATATTTGAAGTGCTAAGTAGGCGTTGGAATAACCAAATATTAAAATAATAGATCCAATTATAGTTACAATCTTGAGAATAACTCCCAAAACTATGGCACATAATCTGGTAGAATCCTGGAACAAAATAATTGACTAAATTTTTTATATTTGTTAAAAGAATTATTAATGTGCAAGAACTGCCTCAAGATAAACAAAGAGCAGATGCTGTCAAGAAGTACATAAAAATATCGATTACCTGAAACAAGTATTTAAAAAATGTGATGGTTGTAATAAAATCTGGTTAAAAAAAAAATTATGCCCACCTGGTTTTGCTGATCTACTGGCAAACCTCTTGTCAACAGCTGTGAAAAGAACAAGTAGCTGTTTTCTTCTATGGGAAGGAAGATGAAGCGAGCAGCCAAAGAACCTAAGTTGTTGATTACATCATAAACACCTGAAAAATAAATTATTTCTTCAGGTATTTAAAATTTTCCAATGCATTAACTTGAAGACAATATCAAAGCAATTTAAAACTACTTTAATTTAAATTAAACTTGATGAATAATAATTGAAACGTAACAAAGGCAGAGGAAAACTTAATGGTGACTTACCTTGGTCAGCAAAGCTCAGCACATCAAAAAATGTCATCACAAATTTTTCACCTGTAAAAAGTTAAAAGTATAGATTTTTTATTTTAAACGTTTTTATTTTCTATAAATGAATAGGCTTGCTTTATATTATGATAGTGTCATAATCATAAAATTAGAAGCACTTACACTAACTATACTTGTTAGAGAAGGTATATTTATTACATGAGCAAATGACAAGGTTAATAGCATATTTGTGTAGGGTACCTTCTGTAAGGATCTGTTTTAAAAATGACTGTTTGAAAAAACTCCAAGTAAGGCTTGCTAGAGAATTATCAATATAAGGCTGAAACAAAATGAAGAAAATCTAGTTTTATTATAAATTTATCTATTAAAGGTTTTAGACGAACTTGTGATTTAAAAAATCTTAAAAACTTTTACGGTTTTTATTAGAAATTAAAAAAAAAACTTCATGTTTTAATTTTAAAAGTTACTTTTCTAAGTCACACTGATGATCTTAAAGATGTAAAAGATATACCTTATCTTCTAGAAGCCTAGGATATATGTCTCGTATTGATTGAAGTGGAAAGTCTTCATCTTTCTTTTTGTGAGAGTTGATGAAGTGTGAAAAGTAGCCATGATACAGCAGCACATATGTCAGACTGGAGACAACCTGAGAAATGCTGAGGTCAATAACTGTTACACGACAGTCAATGAATGGTCAATACAAAAACTAATTAGCCACCATTACTTTTTATGTATAGGTAAGTCATGAGATTATTTCTTTGGGAGAGACTACAAGTACAGCACAAAGAGATACCTGGGCTATAGAGAAGTTGATGATTCCCCAGTCTGGTCTTACTAGAACTAGTACAACTGTGGTGATGCACTTAACACTTTGAGATATGCCTAGCATAACAACCTGCAAAAAAAATGTTACATTACATTTACTACTAATTTACTGTCATAGGAGAGGATATCATACTATTTTAAGAAGAACTTATTAAGTTGATGATCTACAGAAGTATTGTCTCAAAACTCTGAAAGACACTTTAAACTTCTTAACTGGTGTCATCATTCATTGAATAAAGAAATCCAACTATAATTTTTGGGTGGTGTAGTTTTAACCAATAATTTAGGATCTCAACACATGACACAACCAGGTATTATGAACCTATAGTAAAGAACTGCCTGATAAGGTGTGCTACGAGATAATTTTGAAATCCTAAAGAGATATTAGAAATCTAATTAAATTCTTAGGAATCTTTCCTGATTAAGGTGCATTACTTTTAGCTTGATGAAAAGACATGCTTGTCCCACTACAAACAAGGGCTCAGCCAGAACTTCTATTATGGTAGAGAGCGAATAACAGAAAACACCCAACCCATAATGTGAGATGTTAGAAGTTTTGGTAGGATTCTCCAGAAAGTAGAACCACACATAGCCCAAACATGAACACCAAACAACCGCAACTGGGAAACTGAAACAAAGTAATTGACTGTTACATGGTCTGTAATTATATTGAGGGTTGTAAATGTGTAATACAATAAGGTGTAAAATTACACATGATAAAATAAAAAAAAAATTAAACTATTCTAATAACAACTAGCATTAATTTTTACAACCATGATTAATACTAGTGTCCAGCTAAAACTGACAGAAGTTGGTAGGACAATTAGACCTATTTATAGTTAGCCTACAACTCATTTATAAACTGTCCACCCATGATGAGAGGAATGACCAGTGTCTGACACTTACGTGCACCAAAGCAGGTTAATTACTTGTCTCCAGTCCCTCTTGACAGACTTGCTGAGACAAGCTCGATCAAATGCTTCTTTAGAGAGGAAGAGCGTGGTTGAGTAGAGCAAAGTCAATCTGTAGAGTCATTATCATGGTACATCTTTTAAAATTCTTTCTTTTTTAAAAGGTGCTGTTTTACATTGGGAATACATTTAAGTTTTTAATTTAACATGCATGAAGTTCCTACCTTACATTTACTACACCAAGAATGTCTTGGGAAATATAGCGCAAAATAAATGCGTTCAGGACAAATGTTGACATTCTCAGCCCAAACTGGAAAATAAGAGTTTCAATATATAATCAGTGATAAAATCCAAAATATAGGACATAGTTTAAACACAGTTTTTTTAAAGTATAACTGTTTCAATTAAATGTTATCTCCATATCAACTAAATGTTGTTACGGTTACAGATATAGATCTAATAATATTTCACTTATTTATCTGAAAAAAATCTCTTGCCTGAAGTAGAATGTTATAGGATGCAGCTCGAACTGCTCCTTGCAGTAACGCTGAAGGTGATGCCATTTGTCAGCTCCCAGTTCTATCTAATAATCAGCTTTAATGATAAAAGTATGGACTTACTACTACTTACTAGTAAGTAGTGTAGTGGCATATTACTAAGTAAACAATTGTGTATTAAAACATCTCAGTAAAAAATAAAGACTAGATCTAGTGATGTTTTGAAATTAGTAGTATTGTAATCTCGACTATTTTTATAGTTAGAAATTCAAATTAGGGTTAGGTGTATGGTTGGTTGGGGTTAGCTTGTTAGTTTGTTACTGTCTAGCAATTGAATGTAGATCTATGTGTTTAGTTAACTACCAGTAAGTATTAACACCCCTTTTCATTCTATTGACGATATTATCTAATATAATATCTATCAACATTATGATAATATTAAATATTATCGGACACTGTTATAAAAAATCCCCCCAACTTTTTCGGACATTAACTCATTAAAATTGAGTCATTACTAGGTCTATATAATACTAGCCTCGGCCGAATTTAAATTTTTACGCAACTAAACTAAAACGATTGATTACCATCATAATCAAAATTAATCATCAATCATCATATTAGGCCTATATTATATTTATATTATTATAGAATCTAGGCCTATATACTAGTATTAGTTACTAGTATTAAACTTTTAACTTAGGCCTATACTATAGTTAATTATTTAATAATTATTTAGATCTCAGTTACGCTACATTGTTGACGTCGTATGTTTACCAACATCACAAGAACTTCGATACCGGCATTTTTCGCTATTGTAGTTTTTTAGTTTCATCCGGTTTCTCTTTTTCCTAGAACTTATTCGACGATTTCCATAATAATTGTAATTTAAGATTTAGTGCTATATGATGAGTTGCTCTACACTAGTGACTAGCAGTGTAGTGTATGTAGGAGGTGTGTTTGGGGGGGGGGGGGAGAATGGTAATTCTGACATTTGTTAAAACGATTTGGGGAGAATTTTACGAAAGTGTGATGAAGTACACATTTTGTATTTAAAGAGGAAGGGTGTTCTCACAATGAAGAGGTTTCAAAAAGGGATCCAGTTTCTTTCAGACATGCCCCCCCCCCCCCTTTCATGCAACTCCTCTCGATGAAATAGAAAAAAAATATAATATATACAGAAATAAATGCATTAAACTTAAACAGAAATGTTGACATTCTCAGCCCTAACTAGAACAGAAACTTTTAAAAAACCGTATATAAATTCCATTTATTATAAAGCTATTTTCACATTTTATGTGGCAGCTGAATTGTTTTCTATTTCTATTCACATTTTAATACTTGTTGTAACACGTTTTCTCAACTTACAAAAATGTATTTTGATGTTGTTTAATGTATTAAAATAACTTTGGTATATTCCCATTAATTTCTATGAGAAGATTTTTTACTAGGTATCTTGAACTTCTGTCCTGCCTTCACTGTAATGGCTTTGAAGATGAAACAGCTCAATAGCAATAGTCACATAAATAGCATAGCCAGGACAAGTGACCAATGTATTTTTGCTAATGTGCTAAGTAAATGTTTGTTGCTTGAGTTTTTAGTGGGGTGTCATTTACACTTTTGAACGAGCTATTTAGTTAACAACACAAGACTACTGTATTTAACACAAGACACACAATAATGTACAGAAACAACTTGGATACAATCAATGAAGTCAAGCAAGTATTAAAATAATTTTATTTGTCTATTTAATGTCATACACCTCCTCCTGCAGCACCTTCACTTCTTCTGGGTTGTATTACATAAAATCATCATCATCACCTTCAAAGTCCTGGTAACAATGTACATTTGGAAAGGTTATTAAAATGTGCATGCTCAATTTGTATTGCATGAGCGTTTATTACTAACCTATATATAGCTATGCTGATTCCTGCCGGAAAAAGATAAGCATGTGCAATGGAGAGAAACTACCGCCTTCAATCGCTGCAAAGTTTTGGATGGTACAGAGCATGCGTGTGTTTACAAAGAAACCGCAGAAGCCTAACCCAAACCCTAACCCTAGCGCAGCTATTAAGGTCACTGCGCATGCACAGAAATATTGAGTTTCGTATTTTCTACCGGAAAATCTTTTTCCGAGTAGTCACCTTGATATAGTTATCCTTTGCAATAGTAATCAAATTAATTTATTTATAAAAGTGCATAAGCAATACAAAGTATTTAAACATACCTTATTTGTTTGCATATTTTCTGATTTCATTAATGTACTGTATGATCTGAAAAAACAATTTCTTTAAAACCAGTGGAGGAAATTCACATGTGCATGAGATAAACTAAATAGTTAAAAATTAGGTGACTGGCATTCAGGAAAACAAAAGATAAACTGTTAACATACTGAAGAGTACAATTAAACTGTTTCTTTCAAGAAGAGCTAATAATATCCCATTTAATAAGTTTTAACCTTTAGACTCAGACAGCCAACTATAAAAAATGAATTATATACTTCAAACGAGTGTTCACTAGTTCAGAAACCAAGTCATTTTACGGCTGCATTAAACTGAAGTATCACCATGAATTATGTCCCTTTTCTTACAGCTCATGAATCATTGTGACCATTGACTCACACAAACCCTTATAGATCCCAAGACTGTAACAGGTATAATCAGCATATTTTACATATTTTTTGTTCATGATAACATACAACCTCATTCAGGGTAATCTAAGCTAGTCAGGGTAGTCATATCAGTTATTCCAAATACCCAACAAAACATTCTTTCCTCTTTAAATTTTGCAGTTGGTGTCATCCACCCCCCCCCCCCCCCCTAGTGATAATTTTAAAGTGTGCACAGTTAATAGTAAAGATGTTTATCTATAGTCAGTTATTAATACACGTGGATTAACTCTAAGCCTTTATTGAACTGACAAAAAGCAAATTTCTTCTATATATATTTTGAAAGTTTTTGCAATGGTGTCACCCGGTGCGGTCTGGATTCCCCGCCCCACGAAGCCTCTGTTATGCACAGCATCACTGAGGGCAATCTAAGCTGGTGATGATTATATATAGCATCACTGAGGGCAATCTAAGCTGGTGATGATTATATACAGCATCACGGAGGGCAATCTAAGCTGGTGATGATTATATACAGCATCACTGAGGGCAATCTAAGCTGGTGATGATTATATACAGCATCATGAAGGGCAATCTAAGCTGATGATGATTTTATATAGCATCACTGAGGGCAATCTAAGCTGGTGATGATTATATACAGCATCATGAAGGGCAATCTAAGCTGGTGATGATTATATACAGCATCACTGAGGGCAATCTAAGCTGGTGATGATTATATACAGCATCATGAAGGGCAATCTAAGCTGATGATGATTATATATAGCATCACTGAGGGCAATCTAAACTGGTGATGATTATATACAGCATCACTGAGGGCAATCTAAACTGGTGATGATTATACAAAGTATCATACACAAAAAAAACCCCTTTCAACACACCTGACTTCCGCTTGCTCCTGTTTCCGCTTTTCGTCTTCTTTTTCTTTTTGTTTCTGTTCCTGTTGTAACCGACGTTGATTTTCTCTTTCTTTTCTGTCTCTGTCTTCTCTCAAGGCTCTAAAGTCAGGCTGCTCTTCTGTCTTTGTTTTATTTAACCTGTTGACTATTTCATTTATTCTTTTTTCAACCCGAACTTTTTTTACCTGAAAATAAAAATAAAAACATTTTATGGAATGATCTAAAATTAAAGAACAGTACCATAAAAAACAATTTTAATGGAGTAATTTAAAATCAAAGAACAGTACCATAAAAAACAATTATGATGGAATTATTTAAAATTAAAGAACAGTACCATAAAAAACAATTCTAATGGAATGATTTAAAATTAAAGAACAGTAGCCTACCATAAAAAAATTGAATGTTTAAAGGAATGTTATATCTTCACCAAGAGAAATTTTCTAAAAATTATTACTTTTTAAGTAATGGCATGAACGTATAGTGAAGTATGTCAATGATTTTAAATCTTTATCTTTACAAAATATGACTCTGGCCACAAAATAAAACTTTAAAAATGACAATGGGCTCACATCTTTGTCTTTATGAAAACCAACTTGTCCCACATCCATGCTTGCTGTTTTTTTTAAGTTGCTCCACATTGTGTAGACCACATCTAAATTATTCTGTTTGTTTCCTGTTGAGATGCACTGCTTTAAACAACTACTTTACAAAGAATGTAGCATTAACTACTGTAGTATCATTAAAATGAATGAACATTTAGACTGACGCACCTTGTATGCTGTTGGCTTTGACCAGCTGGACACAGTCCTCTATAACAGCCTGAGGTATGTCATCTATAGTTTCCCCCTAGCAGAGGAAACATAACAAACACCAACAAATATCAGTAAATATAAATGGACATTAAAACAAGCGTCCATAGTTAATATTTTGCTTTTTAAATGTTTTCCTTAAGATTTCTTGAGTGTCATATTAAACTTTCTTATCTCCCCTCCACAATAACAAGTCTTACCCCTCCCTTTCCCCCCCCCCCCCCCCCCTCCTCTGAAGTGTCAAATAATTAATGTATGGATCCCTCATGTTATAAATTAAATTAATATGGTAAATCAGATCATGAATTTGTTACTGTTGTTAAATCCAGTTTTCTCAAGAACAAAGAAGACACAAACATACAGCATGTAACCTCAAGTAGACGTGGGCAGATGACAGCTTATCAACGTGAAACCTTCAGATTGAGAAAATAAACAGTACAGTAAGCAACAATCTATAAACCATTATATATATTTACTTTTAACATGACCCGAGCCTTATAAGATTTACTTACCATACATCCTCAGGCCAACCCCATCTTATCAATTCTTCATCTAAAACAAAAAAGTTTGCAATTAAATTTTACAATTTTTTATTTAGATTTTAATTTAATAAATACTTTGCTAAATCATGTGATGTGTAGTCAAGAAAAAAACTTAAAATTTGAAAACATGAGATGAAAATACTTACTTTCATTTTTATCAAATCCCATGTAAAGTGTGTAGGGCGGTGATACAACTAAAAATGTAATAGAGAGTGCAAAATTGATAAGTTTAAAATAATTAATTTAGATTATAACTATTGGTAGAATGCTGTTTATTTCATACCAATATTAAAATAGACTTTTATGTTACTTATTTATTTTATTATTTTAGCAGATTTAGGAACAATTTACTAGTTAGGCCTACTAGTTTGTTCCATTTCTTAAAAGTACCTCAATAGACTTACTACTAGGTCTACTAATAAACTAATAAAAGAGTAGGCCTATAAACCAACTAGGTACATAACTTATTAACAAGATCAAGTAACTAGATAATTGAGCACCTAAGACAATACCGCAGCTGAGAAAATATGACAAACCACCATTTCCCTCCTGAATGTTCAACACTATTGGTCGCGGCAGTTTGCAAATTTTTGTTGTGTATATATTAACATGTTGTACATCATTCTTTTTGTAACTGAATAACCTTTTAAACTGTATAAGTTTGACTTCAGATGTTTAAGAAATTGCAGATTGAATAGCCTTTATTACCCCTGCAGTGACACCCCCCCCCCCCCGGAAAATGTTGACCCCTCAAAAATATCAAGCCCATCCCCACCAGGAGAAATAAGTCTGGAATAAACACTGAGCAACATCCCAATTAGGGAGAGGCCTTTTCACTTTTTAAAAAGTCTATAGAATAGACTCGTTGAGTTTTTGTACTAGAATGGTAAAACTTAGTAGAGGACTAGATTAAATTAAATGTATAGGCCTACATATAGGCCTAACCCTCAGGGTTTGAGGTCAAATTATCTTGAATAATTTAATAAATACTTTCAAAGTTATTTGGGCTATTAATTTACTTTAACAGCCATATTGTTTAACTTTTTTTTGGTAACATTTTCGCTAGAGGTCCAGGGTAAACCACTCTAATTTACAGACTTTAATTATCAGCATACGTCATTAGCTTGGGGCCATTGTGAGTTCATATAAGTTTTTAGTTTATTTATAGTATCAAACAATACAAACTTAACCGACTTGCATTAATGAGTTTCTCGTTTAATAACAAGAACCTATTTTCAAGAAAAAAAAAGCTAAATCTAGTGCACCTTCAATATCCAAATTTGGATTTTTCTCAAGTTTTGACAAAAGTAAATTATAAAAAACTAGCATATCATACGCCACTATTTAGTTGTTTTATTTTCTACTTTTCAGTAATTCAAAATTTGTGAATTCGACGGTACCAATGCTGCCACTGAAAATATTTGCTTTAAAACAAAATCAGATGGTCGTTAAGGACGATACCCCCCTCCTTTCCCCCAACCCCACTTTTAAAGCAAACTCCTCTTAGTTACCTCCCCTAAGTTTAAAATCGTTTCAAACTACATTATCTGCCCCCTAATAGCCGTCACTAAACCCGGCTCTACAATTGTAAACATTTAGCGTGAACCAAAATTCACCAGACCATGTAGGGGTGGGGATGGTAGGGAGGGCGCTTACTGCTTGGTGTTTTCTATCGTCTCCAAGAAGAGAATTATATATATATATATCTATATATATAATTCTCTTCTGGGATCAGTTAGAAAACAAGCTGCAAGCGCGCCTTTGCAGTCCCCTCTCTTCCTCTCTATCACTATCACTACCACCCCACCCCCACATGATCTGGTGAGCGGTGTTCAGTCACTCTGTTTACATTTTACAATCATAGAGACGGGTTTGGTGACGGCTATTAGGGGCAGATAATTGAGTTTGAAACGATTTTAAACTTAGAGGAGGTAACTAAGAGGAGGCTGCTTTCACGTGGGATGGGGGGGGGGGGGGTAGTGTTTTTAAGCAAATATTTTCAATGGCAGCATTGGTACTGTTGAATTCACAAATTATAAAATTACTGAAAAGTAGAAAAAAAACAACTAAATAGCGGCGTATGATACGCAGCGGGTCGGCTCGTATAATATAATAGATTAAAACAAAAATTCATAAAGAATAACGTTTTTGTGTGTTTCGGTTGTGTTTATAATAAAATACGCTCAAATGGAGGTGAACGTAAAGCTGAAGCGGTGAATAAAATACGCTAAAATTAAAATGGAATTTTACCAAATACTCTAAGCATCCATGGGCCTATTTTACGTACATCTACCTAAAAGTCCCTAAAACTAAAACAATAGATTTAAAATAGATTAGGCCTAGGCCTATACTATACTGCCTAGGCCTAGATTCTCTAATTTTTTTTATAGGCTACAAAAAATTTTAATTTCTCAGAAACTTTCTGTCTTAAATTAAAACTTAAAATTAATAGTTTTTTTACATTTTTAGGCCTAATTTATTATAGGCCTATTTATAGATCTAATTATATAATTAAAATATAAAAAATAGGCCTAAAACAAAAAAATTAGTTAAATTTTAAAATTAGGCCCCTAGGCCCTAAAAAATGAAAAAGTCTTTAATTTTAAATAAAAAGTTAGTTAAAGTAGTAGACTCTAGGCCTAAACGAAGCCATTTTAAATGATTTTGCTGTCATTAGATTTTGAGACACTGATGTTAAGAAATTAAATCTGAACATACCATTGCTTATAAAATAAAATACCATATTGAATACTTTTTTTTTAAAATTGTCAAGAAGTAGGCCTAGCCTAGATTTAGGTAAACAATCACATTCACCCGAACCGGATGTTAAATGATGTCAATTATCAAAAACATTAACCAGCTTAACTAAGATCCGAAAGCTGACATAGTCCATAAATATAAATAAATGTCTTCTCAGTAAATAGGGGCCTATTTAATATTTATTGATAGATTTATTTTTTTAAAATGCGTACAATCTTGTAATAGATTTTTATCTTGTAAAATAAAAATCTATAATGCGCTTCAACATGTAAATTGAACTAAACGTTCTTCAAATATAGTCTAGTAGACTTGGCCTGTATAATAATAAAATTATATCACGATAACAATTTGTCTAGATATTATATTGTAGAGTAGTGAGTAGACTAATACATTTATAAAATATAATTTTTAAATATTTTGCTTTATTTTTATAGTTCATTTAGAAGCTTAATCTCCCGAAGAATGTGTATAGGCTTATTAATCTTATTCTCCATTTTGACATTGAATTTAAACAAAGATCTTTAAATTAATTTTTATGGCCAATTAAATATGTCCCTATAGGGCTGGTAAGTTCTACGGCTCAATAAAACCTGCATGAGCTATAGAACTGTTTAGTGACCTACTTACCAGCCCTATTATCTAAGACAGTAATGTTAAAAGTTAATAAAATTAGAAAAGTGAGATATATAGTTTAAAAGAAATCGCTCCATCATCGATGTGTCAGAAGGGAGAAGGGGAGCGGACCTGATCGTTTTTAGGACAGTGGCGTCTTGTTAGAGATCGATTCAGATCAAATTTTTTTTTAAATTCCAGCTAGAAATTACCATCAATTTACAGAAACTACGAAACTGTTAACATCTATATTTCCATGGTTAAATAAATGTTATGTAAATAAGCCTTTCTAATTTTTCAACGACTCATTGCAAAAAACTTTTGAGCACCTAGTTGTGCGCCAGGCAGAACGAGACTCCCTTTATCATAATGTCAGTCCACTTTAGCAGCTGTATGCTTATATCTGTTGTGTCCCCCAACAACAGAGCTTTGCATTAAGTCTTGGTTTCAATTTAACGTTTCACATTTCATACGAGGGCCTACTGTATGCTATATTGATCATCATTATACTGGTTGTCTACCCCACGTAACGCCATCTCGCACCCCCCCCCCCCCAATATGTTCTAACTGGCAGGAAGTTAACATTTTATTTTGAATTGGAGATATAGATGGATACAATGTTAGATGGACGGTTTTAGAAACTCTGAGCAAATATATGGGGTGAAAGCTGAATAAACGTATAGAAAAATAACTTAAACAGTAGCCTATTCTTTTACACGTGAGGAATCAAAACATCAATAATCAAAACTTCAGAAAATAAAACATCAGAAAACAAAACGTCAGAAAACAAAACACCAGAAAACAAAACATCAGAAAACAAAACATCAGAAAACAAAACATCAGAAAACAAAACGTCAGAAAACAAAACACCAGAAAACAAAACGTCAGAAAACAAAACAAGAAAACGACTTGTGTCCAGGCTGGGGTGACACCACGTCGAAAAAACGTAAAATTTAAAATGTACAATGTTTAACCCAGTTAAGATAACAAAATATAGGGGGGGGGAGGGAGATATCAAAACGAAAAGAATTGTTTTATCTGTGTTACCATCAGTGTGACGACGCTAAGTTAGGTCGTTTAGGTCAAGTAGAAGAAGTTAATAGAAACAGTCTATAGCTAGTAGTTTTTGAGGCTATAAGATTTACCAATTAGATTTGTCTAGATCAACAGCTTTTGTGTTCATAAGATTTACTCTTTATGATTTCTCTCCCCCCTCCATTTCCTATCGTATGCCTAACATGTTAACCGTAGGAATGATTCAGAGTAGGCGACAATTTTTTTCCAGAAATAACCATCTCACTGGATGTAGAGAATTCGCATTTGGTTCGATTTCCGATAAGTCAATCCATCCACGCTTGGTGCGTCAGCCCCTCTACACTTGGTCCCGTAGACGGCTATTCGGATGTGTGAAATGGGATGACATTTTGTGTTGTAGTCTGTGGGATGACATTTTGTGTGTTGTAGTGTGTGGGATGACATTTTGTGTGTTGTAGTGTGTGGGATGACATTTTGTGTGTTGTAGTCTGTGGGATGACATTTTGTATGTTGTAGTCTGGTTACGTTTATGATGTGTGGTTTAGTTAACTGTATGTTGGTGTGTGGTGAACTGTATGTTGGTGTGTGATGTGGCTAACAATATGCGTGAAGTTATGAATGTGCTCTGGCTTCTTATTGACGGGCAGTGGCTGTATGTTTGTCGGATTCCATCAGTAACATATGAACAGTGATGTATGTTACAGGATTAAATCTGTAACATATGAACAGTGGTGTATGTTGCCTATCTTTTACCTCTTGAATCTGCTTTCTATACGTCTAGTTGCACAAATCACGCACGACGCCATTTTCAATTCTGGAAATTGTAAATCCCAGAATGCCATAAACTCACAACTTAAATCCCAACTTGCCAAAAGATCACAACTTCGAGCACTATGCAAGAGAAGTATATTTTCTTCACTAGTTATAGGCAGTGTAGGATATTGTGAGGTCTTTGTTGGTGCCAGTCTATTTTATGAATCGTCCATACCCATGTTTGATTTTACTAGTACATTTAAAAAATAAGACAACAAATTCAAGTTTTAATAAATATTTTAATTAAAAAACCAATTCTTTAATTCACACTAAAGTCTGTTCATGACACACATGAACACGGTAATTAAACATCAACTCAGTAAATGAACACATCACTAAAACAATGATACATATTAAGACAATGATACATATCACTAAAACAATGATACATATCAATCATTAAGACAATGATACACCTTCAAATAGAAATAAACAAGTTTAAAAGGTACAATGTGGACATTATTCTTTACTGCAAAACTAATCTACTGCAGTAGCTGGTCCCAAAATAGATGGGAGTGGTTTAAACGATTGGGGTTGCTCTCTCTCTACTACAAACTTGCTACACGATGTTCTGACTTGTTACAAAAGTAATCCAAGTCTAGAAGTGGAAGAACCCTACAACTTCTTCAATCATACGGGAGCTAGTGCAACACACGAACCTCCGTCAGCACGAATAGTTTCCCTTATCTGCGCAGTTAAGAAATCGTTTGTAGGAGATAGCAGGGACCGCTATCAGGGCAGATAGCAGGGGCAGATAATAACATGATGGTAGTTTGTGAACAGGGACGTTTTGTAGCGGGGGGGGGGGTGTTACAAAGTGTCGGCTGATAACTAAGATGGTACCATGACTCGGGATGGTAGGTACAACTAGGATGGTACAACTGGGATGGTACTATGACCATGGATGGTAGGTACAACTGGGATGGTACTATGACCTGGGATGGTACAACTGGGATGGTACTATGACCTGGGATGGTACAACTGGGATGGTACTATGACCTGGTAGAACTGGGATGGTACTGTGCCAAAAGTTGTGATGATAAAAAAAAGCTGAGATCTAAGTACAAGGCTACACATATATTGCACGTGCATGGGGTGAGCATTTTTAAAAATGCCATTTAAGGTAAGCCAGAAACATTTGTCAAACCTGTGTCACACACTGTCACAAACTTGAGTCACACACTGACAAACTTGTGTCACACACTGACAAACTTGTGTCACACACTGACAAACTTGTGTCACACACTGACAAACTTGTGTCACACACTGACAAACTTGTGTCACACACTGACAAACGTGTCACACGCTGACAAACTTGTGTCACACACTTGAGACATTATTCCACACACTGCAACAAAAAATTGTTTTTGTCAAAGGCAATGAATCCTACTGAAACACGCAGGAATGTTGTAATAATGCAGAGGGTTACGTCATAAACTCTACGTTAATGACGTCACTGTATGATGTAAAAAACGAGTTGGTGACGTGTTGAGCGCGAGCTACCAGCTAGCGAGATACAAGAACGGGTGCAGCCGTTGGTGCTAGAGAAGTTCCAGCTCACGTCTAATTGGGAAACACGTGCATAGGAGCAGACATGGCTGACAAGGATGGCTCACATCGGAGGCGTCACGACCTGCCCCGCTACCCTTGTCTACTGACATCAAGTGACCAGTGACAGTAAATGTCTACTGACATCAAGTGACCAGTGACAGCTGTCTACTGACATCAAGTGACAGCAAATGTCTACTGACATCAAGTGACCAGTGACAGCAAATGTCTACTGACATCAAGTGACCAGTGACAGCTGTCTACTGACATCAAGTGACCAGTGACAGTAAATGTCTACTGACATCAAGTGACCAGTGACAGTAAATGTCTACTGACATCAAGTGACCAGTGACAGCAAATGTCTACTGACATCAAGTGGCCAGTGACAGCAAATGTCTACTGACATCAAGTGACCAGTGACAGCAAATGTCTACTGACATCAAGTGGCCAGTGACAGCAAATGTCTACTGACATCAAGTGGCCAGTGACAGCTGTCTACTGACATCAAGTGACCAGTGACAGCAAATGCCTACTGACATCAAGTGACCAGTGACAGCAAATGTCTACTGACATCAAGTGACCAGTGACAGCTGTCTACTGACATCAAGTGACCAGTGACAGTAAATGTCTACTGACATCAAGTGGCCAGTGACAGCAAATGTCTACTGACATCAAGTGACCAGTGACAGCAAATGTCTACTGACATCAAGTGGCCAGTGACAGCAAATGTCTACTGACATCAGATCAAGTGACCAGTGACAGCAAATGTCTACTGACATCAACTGACCAGTGACATCAGCCCAAGTTTTCTGACCACAAAACTGAGCCTTGCTCTGCCCCTAATGACGTTTTGTTTGACTAATCCAATTTGTGACGGTAGGCCCGACGCCTGTAATCTAAGCCAGCAAACAAGTTGGGTCACATAAACAGCTTAGAGCTTTGTTTACAATGTGCACGGCAACAGCTGGTCAGTTGCATTGTGGTCTACGTGTGTCGCTGCACGTTCATAACACAACACAGAGCCAGGGGAGATAAACCATGACGTCGTAGTCATCTCGAGTTATCAGTCTTAGCGTAGGCCAAACCGTTCATTAAACTTCAACAGCAGAACGGACATTGATTGAAAAAGGAGATCCACATAATACCATCTGAATGGCGAACTGGTTTGAATGGCGAACTGACGACAGCTACAACAATGGGGTTAATACACCAGAACTTTTAGAGTTATCTCCCTTTATGCGGCTTTTTAGAGTTAACCCCCTTAACAAGACCATTTAATTAAAATTGAAGTTACATCGATTAAACGTAGCCATCTAGAGTTACTCCGCTCAGCACACCCCGAGTAACCCCACCATACTGAGACCCGTGGCTCTCTACACCACACGTTCAGGTCGTGTACACCTCTCAGGGTACACGATCAACTGGTGGGGACCACTGGAACAGGTTGACATTAGGGTACCCGATCAACTGGTGGGGACAGGTTGACATTAGGGTACCCGATCAACTGGTGGGGACAGGTTGACATTAGGGTACACGATCAACTGGTGGGGACAGGTTGACATTAGGGTACACAATCAACTGGTGGGGACCACTGGGACAGGTTGACATTAGGGTACCCGATCAACTGGTGGGGACCGCTGGGAGTTAAGGCTCTTTTTTTATAAGATGTACCAGAAGCCGTGGGATGGTAACCTCACCATCATCTGTACCGTAAGATACACATCATCATCTGTACTATACGATCAAACACAGCAACATCACCAATCTGATAGCTATCACCGCATATGTGTATTATTAAGAAAAACCTTTGAGTGCATGCAAATAGAAAATAAATGCTGTATTAAAAAAAACTCTGCAGTCGAGTCTGATGGGGTTAGGGTAGAAAGACATAATTCAGACTAGTCTAGATTATCCAGCGATCAATAGCTCACTCTGCCCCCCCCCCACTCACACACACACACGTACACTCACACAGAGAGAACTATCCCAGTGCCAGATTATTTTGCTGGCTACTGTCCAGTCTGGCAACTCGTCAAATGTTTGTCACGTCCCAGTGGTAATTAGCTAGTCAAGTTTGTCAGCCGTCCAACACATGATGATGGCCGTCCAGCACTCGATGATGGCCGTCCAACACACGATGGCCGTCCAACACACAATGATGGCCGTCCAACACACGATGATGGCCGTCCAACACATGATGATATAATCCATGAAAAAGCTGCAGATTGTTGACTGTCCGTGTTCCTGTATAGAATGATACATTCAACTTCCGGTGCTAGACATTCACGGGTGCTACTGCTGGGCCAACACAGGTGCTACTGCTGGGCCAACACAGGAGCTACTGCTGGGCCAACACAGGTGCTAATGCTGGGCCAACACAGGTGCTACTGCTGGGCCAACACAGGTGCTACTGTTGGGCCAACACAGGTGCTACTGCTGGGCCAACACAGGTGCTACTGCTGGGCCAAAACAGGTGGGTCAACACAGGTGCTACTGTTGGGCCAACACAGGTGCTACTGCTGGGCCAAAACAGGTGCTACTGCTGGGCCAACACAGGTGCTACTGCTGAGCCAACACAGGTGCTACTGTTGGGCCAACACAGGTGCTACTGCTGGGCCAACACAGGTTTTACTGTTGGGCCAACACAGGTGCTACTGCTGGGCCAAAACAGGTGCTACTGCTGGGCTGGGCCAACACAGGTGCTACTGTTGGGCCAACACAGGTGCTACTGTTGGGCCAACACAGGTGCTACTGCTGGGCCAACACAGGTGCTACTGCTGGGCCAACACAGGTGCTACTGCTGGGCCAACACAGGTGCTACTGCTGGGCCAACACAGGTGCTACTGCTGGGCCAACACAGGTGCTACTGCTGGGCCAACACAGGTGCTACTGCTGGGCCAACACAGGTGCTACTGCTGGGCCAACACAGGTGCTACTGCTGGGCCAACACAGGTGCTACTGCTGGGCCAACACAGGTGCTACTGCTGGGCCAACACAGGTGCTACTGCTGGGTCAACACATGTGCTACCGCTAGGCCAACACATGGACTAGCTAGCCGTAGAAATGCACCCACAGTTAGGCCTAATCTAACAACAAAGAACCGCCCGTCAGACTTGCTTCTCTCTGGGCGCCATAGATGTGGGGCGCCATAGATCTGGTACGCCCGTGACCTCGGCCCTCTGACGTCATCATTAGTTCCAAGATGTCTTTTGACGAGAAACACTTCCGCTATGCCGTGAACCTTGACCCGGTGATTGAAGCCGACCACGCCGCTGTAAAGAGAAGAGTTCACAAGTTGGGGTCAAAAATAAATGAATGAAAGCCTACAGCACACACACATCACACAGCAGAAATCACACAGCACAAATCACACAGAAAGTCCATACAACACAGGTTTTCCTTGATTCTCGCCAGCGACGGTGAACGCAGTTTTATTAAATCTACTTGAGAGCAGCATAAGATTTAGAGTTTTGTTACATCTACTTGAGAGCAGCATGAGATTTAGAGTTTTGTTACATCTACTTGAGAGCAGCATGAGATTTAGAGTTTTGTTACATCTACTTGAGAGCAGCATGAGATTTAGAGTTTTGTTACATCTACTTGAGAGCAGCATGAGATTTAGAGTTTTGTTACATCAACTTGAGAGCAGCATGAGATTTAGAGTTTTGTTAAATCTACTTGAGAGCAGCATGAGATTTAGAGTTTTGTTACATCTACTTGAGAGCAGCATGAGATTTAGAGTTTTGTTAAATCTACTTGAGAGCAGCATGCGATTTAGAGTTTTGTTAAATCTACTTGAGAGCAGCATGCGATTTAGAGTTTTGTTAAATCTACTTGAGAGCAGCATGAGATTTAGAGTTTTGTTACATCTACTTGAGAGCAGCATGAGATTTAGAGTTTTGTTACATCTACTTGAGAGCAGCATGAGATTTAGAGTTTTGTTACATCTACTTGAGAGCAGCATGAGATTTAGAGTTTTGTTACATCTACTTGAGAGCAGCATGAGATTTAGAGTTTTGTTACATCTACTTGAGAGCAGCATGAGATTTAGAGTTTTGTTACATCTACTTGAGAGCAGCATGAGATTTAGAGTTTTGTTACATCTACTTGAGAGCAGCATGAGATTTTGAGTTTTGTTACATCTACTTGAGAGCAGCATGAGATTTAGAGTTTTGTTACACCTACTTGAGAGCAGCATGAGATTTAGAGTTTTGTTACATCTACTTGAGAGCAGCATGAGATTTAGAGTTTTGTTACATCTACTTGAGAGCAGCATGAGATTTAGAGTTTTGTTACATCTACTTGAGAGCAGCATGAGATTTAGAGTTTTGTTACATCTACTTGAGAGCAGCATGAGATTTAGAGTTTTGTTACATCTACTTGAGAGCAGCATGAGATTTTGAGTTTTGTTACATCTACTTGAGAGCAGCATGAGATTTAGAGTTTTGTTACATCTACTTGAGAGCAGCATGACATTTAGAGTTTTGTTACATCTACTTGAGAGCAGCATGAGATTTAGAGTTTTGTTAAATCTACTTGAGAGCAGCATGAGATTTAGAGATTTGTTACATCTACTTGAGAGCAGCATGAGATTTAGAGTTTTGTTACATCTACTTGAGAGCAGCATGAGATTTTGAGTTTTGTTACATCTACTTGAGAGCAGCATGAGATTTAGAGTTTTGTTACATCTACTTGAGAGCAGCATGAGATTTTGAGTTTTGTTACATCTACTTGAGAGCAGCATGAGATTTAGAGTTTTGTTACATCTACTTGAGAGCAGCGTGAGATTTAGAGTTTTGTTAAATCTACTTGAGAGCAGCATGAGATTTAGAGTTTTGTTAAATCTACTTGAGAGCAGCATGAGATTTAGAGTTTTGTTACATCTACTTGAGAGCAGCATGAGATTTAGAGTTTTGTTACATCTACTTGAGAGCAGCATGAGATTTAGAGTTTTGTTACATCTACTTGAGAGCAGCATGAGATTTAGAGTTTTGTTACATCTACTTGAGAGCAGCATGAGATTTAGAGTTTTGTTACATCTACTTGAGAGCAGCATGAGATTTAGAGTTTTGTTACATCTACTTGAGAGCAGCATGAGATTTAGAGTTTTGTTACATCTACTTGAGAGCAGCATGAGATTTTGAGTTTTGTTACATCTACTTGAGAGCAGCATGAGATTTAGAGTTTTGTTACATCTACTTGAGAGCAGCATGAGATTTAGAGTTTTGTTACATCTACTTGAGAGCAGCATGAGATTTAGAGTTTTGTTAAATCTACTTGAGAGCAGCATGAGATTTAGAGTTTTGTTAAATCTACTTGAGAGCAGCATGAGATTTAGAGTTTTGTTACATCTACTTGAGAGCAGCATGAGATTTAGAGTTTTGTTACATCTACTTGAGAGAAGCATGAGATTTAGAGTTTTGTTACATCTACTTGAGAGCAGCATGAGATTTAGAGTTTTGTTACATCTACTTGAGAGCAGCATGACATTTAGAGTTTTGTTACATCTACTTGAGAGCAGCATGAGATTTAGAGTTTTGTTAAATCTACTTGAGAGCAGCATGAGATTTAGAGTTTTGTTACATCTACTTGAGAGCAGCATGAGATTTAGAGTTTTGTTACATCTACTTGAGAGCAGCATGAGATTTAGAGTTTTGTTACATCTACTTGAGAGCAGCATGAGATTTAGAGTTTTGTTACATCTACTTGAGAGCAGCATGAGATTTAGAGTTTTGTTAAATCTACTTGAGAGCAGCATGAGATTTAGAGTTTTGTTACATCTACTTCAGGGGTCTCCAAACTATGGCCTGCGGGCCGGATGCGGCCCGCGAGGTCGTCTCATCCGGCCCGCGGAGATCTTTTTGTCCTCGGAAAAAACGTTTGTTGGTGATGGCTAAGGAACTTTGCCCAGAGAAATCAAAGACATGCCTGAAAGAAACTGGCCCCCGAACTGAAATTTGATAGTTAATGCGGCCCTCGGACTGAAAAGTTTGGAGACCCCTGATCTACTTGATAGCCAGCCAATTAGAGTTTTGTATTCGACATTTGTTTGAACCTTTGAAAATTTGGAACCTTGTCCAGATCTGCATGGAATGACCGGCCTCGGATCTTAATTCATTTCCCCTGGCGTCGATATTGATCGAATGAATTAAAATATCACGTGACGCCAATTTTCTAGATTAGTATGACGTGTTTTAGCCTATAACCTCCGTTACATCAGGGCGTCAACGTTGTGTGTGTGTGTGGGGGGGGGGGGGTAGAATAACTTAATACACTGAAAACTGGAAACACACACACATGCTGTACAGTAGATTTTAATTAACTAATCAATCCACCTGTTTAAAAGTAATAGCTTATTAATGAATTTTTTAAAAACTCACAGTGCAAATAACATAATATCGACAACTTTGATTAGTAAAATGTAATTAAGGAACTAATTTCAAAGCAAAAAAAAAAAATGATGCTCGTCGTTTCTAGAAGCCTAATGTATAATCAATACATGTGTAATTAGATTAAATGGCGCAATCATTTCTTGTGGGCGATTTCCATTAATGACAGCCCTCGTTTATAAAGATGTGGTGTGAGTGTGGGGGGGGGGGGGGGATTATTTTGGTTTTGTGCTCGATGATTGATCTTTTAATGTGTATATGAGCGTTGTCTACAAATTTTCAATTTAGCCGAGACAAGTTTTAAACTAGGTATACGAACACAGAAGCCTATCAACCTAAATGCTAGAACGCACCTCCCTCTCCATTCCTAGTGGTGTCACTCGGTGCGGTCCCCTCCCCCTCCCCCCCCCCCCCCCCCACTTCTGACGCCAACAAAATAATTTATTTATTAAAAAAATATATTTTGACAAAAACAAACATGATACATCACATCAAGAGAAAAACGCCCAGACGCCGGCTTCTAGCAGTGATATCAAACAACACAGTTCAACCACAGAACAAATTACATCAAATACCATACAAGAACATAGTTGTAACCTCATTCTAAAGTGGCTGTAAATGTACTTTTTATTCTACCGAAAATTAACCCTTTCAGTGTGTCCCAGCATTAACCCTTTCAATGTGTCCCAGCATTAACCCTTTCAGTGTGTCCCAGCATTAACCCTTTCAGTGTGTCCCAGCATTAACCCTTTCAATGTGTCCCAGCATTAACCCTTTCAATGTCCCTGCATTAACCCTTTCAATGTGTCCGATTGCTTGCGGTTGACCAAAAGTCGTGTTTAAAGTCTTAGTCTGAAAGTGTTTAGCGTTACCTCTACCAAAAGTGGTGTTTAACTTTACCTCTACCAAAAGTCGTGTTTAACTTTACCTCTACCAAAAGTCGTGTTTAGCGTTACCTCTACCAAAAGTGGTGTTTAGCGTTACCTCTACCAAAAGTGGTGTTTAGCGTTATTTCTACCAAAAGTGGTGTTTAGCGTTACCTCTACCAAAAGTCGTGTTTAACGTTACCTCTACCAAAAGTGGTGTTTAGCGTTACCTCTACCAAAAGTCGTGTTTACCTTGTGGTGTGGCGGGTCAGCTGCAGATGAGCTCAGCTTTGAGTGGCCGCTGCTGCAAGTTCTGGCCGCTGCCGGTAGGGTACACATTCGTCTCCGTCAGCCGGAACTTCCGGTCGCCATCGTACGTCACTTCCTCGTTGGTCCGCTTCTCGCCGGCCGTGACGTCCGTCCTGCTATTGTTGAGCTTTAAATCGTTGAGCAGCATGTTCCCGATGGGCTGTCTGCTCATGTCAGTGCAGCTGTTGTTGCGACTGCCGCGGTGGAGGAGGCCGGTGGTGGTGACCGTGGACAAGTTGGAGTCCAGGCTCTCGCTGCTGAAGCGTTTGTTCTCGAACGTGTCCTTTACCTCTGACTTGTCCATGCTGACGAAGACGTTGTGGTTGTTCTCCCGGAGCACAGACTTCTTGTCGCTGAACCGGAAGTAGTCGATGAGACTGTCTTGAGACATCTGTCTGGGCGTGATCATGCCGGAAGCCGTGTCAGACACGGCTCTCGTGCTGAGGTTCTCGGACACGGCCAGCGAGTTCCGGCTGACCTCGGCAGACCGGCTGCGGGAGCTCCAGGAGCCGCAGTCCGTGTAGATGCTGGACGAGTCGCTCATGAAGCTGTCCATGGGCAGGGGCTGGCTGTCGAAGCCCGCATACACCTTCCTTTTGGGCCGACCCAGAGCCGGGGGACTTCTGGGCGTGTCCTGCCAATCAGAGTCGGAGTCGGAGCTGGGAGAGACACTTATCGAGCTGGAGAGACTACTCTCTCGCGTCGGTAACTCCAGGCGCAGTTGCCGAGAATGGGCCATGGGATGCCTAAAGTCTTGGCCCTGTTGCCGAGAGTGTGGCAAGGACTGCCTAAAATCTTGGCCGGCTGAAGACGGAGCCGTATAACACCTGCTCCTAGGTTCGAGCCCCGGCTTCTGGGCGGCGTGCATGTTTGTGGAGGAATGTCTTCTGTCGGTGTTGAACTCGGAGCTTTTTCTGCGGGCTGTCACCGACAGGTGCCCGGGGTCAAACCCACACCCGTAGCAGTGGAACACGTTGTTCAGTCTCTTCAGTGGTTTGGGTGCCTTGATCTTTTGAGCAGGTATCAGGTGTTTAGCGTGAGAAACTTTGACCCCGTGATCAGAAATTTGAGGAGCGTTGCTTGCAGGGGGGAGGTACAAGGGCTTCCGCCAGAACCTGCGTGGGGAGCTGGTGGGATCTTTGGTGTGGGAGCTGGTGGACGCCTCACTAAAGCTGGTGTCTGAAGCCGTGTAGTACATGCTTGTGTTCTCAGAGTCCTGGCCCCTTGAGCTGGCGGCGCCCCGCGAGTTGCCATTCAAACTCAGACTAAAGTAAGCCGAGCTGTTGCTGTCGTTGACGTCTTGCTGCGGGCTTTCCTTTCTCTTGACGAAATCCAAGCTGCGACAGGAGTAGAAGCTGCCGAATGAAGAGTTCAGTTGGTTGCTGGTCAAGCTTGTGCGCCGGGGCAGAGAGCACGACCTGACCCCTGACTTCTGGCTCCAGGTGGGCGAGCCGTCTACGTCATCCTCAGGGTCACAGGTCAGGTCCGAGATGCTGCAGGTTGCCAGGATGTAGGACCGCCGCTTGACCAGGGTCTCCTTGCTGCCATCGACCCGCGGGGCTTGCTCCCCCTGGGGTGTCGGGGGGTCACTGTTGAGCTGGGCAGAGTCGCCGGACACGTTTAGCCTGGCGTCCACATACTCACTGCTGCGGCTAGAGGCGCTGGACGACTGCACGTCATCTTCAGGACTGGACAGGCCCGACTGTTCAAAAAATGTGAAAATCTGGCCATTGCTGGAGTACAGGACATCGTCATGTAACACAGTGGCCAGTGACTTGCCAGAAAGGTTGGTTGGCTTATCCTCTCCCTCCACACGGAACAACTTGAGACACTCCACCGAGTTACTGAGGTCTGACATGCTGCTGAAGCCGTGGGTCGCCAGTCGCAGGGAGTTTCTCTTCCAGCTCGACTGGGGCGACAGCAGACCCGGCTCTTGGGTCATCTGGGGGTCAGCACGAGTCTGGCTGGCGGGGTCAGCACGGGTCTGGGTGTCGTGAGTGCTGTCTGAGCTACTGCGAGTGCTGCCCTGAGACGATGACGTGCTCCCGCTCTTGCTTGACCTGAGCGACACCTTGCGGCAAACGATGGCGTTGTGTTCGTTCACCGTCCACTCCAACACACTGTCGGCGTCCTCGTCTGGACACACTTGACTGGGCTTGTCTGGACACGCTAGACTGGGCTTGTCTGGACACGCTTGACTGGGCTTGTCTGGACACGCTAGACTGGGCTTGTCTGGACACGCTTGACTGGGCTTGTCTGAAGAGTTGCTCACCGTGACGCTTTGCTGGCTATGCTCACGTGATGTCCTGACACAATTATCCAGCCTGGGGGCCGGCAGCGATGTGAGGTCTGGTTTGCCTGCCCTAGCCTCTCTCTGGACGACCCGACCCTGCTGGACGCTGGCGTGGAGCGGCGAGTTGCTGACCACTGTCTGCCGGGTGTATCCGTTGCTGCTCCTGTTGACGGTGGTGATGATGGTCAAGCTGTCCGGACTGCTGGCCATCTCTCGGCAGTTCCCGAGGATCGGGTAGACTTTTGTCCTGTGGGGTTTCACCGGAAGTGATGTGGGCGGGGTGGTGCGCGGGGGTCGACGTTTGGTGTCGTCTGTGGGCGGGGCCTTCAAGACGGGGCCGGGGAAAATGCGACAGTCAGAGGGTGAAACACTGCCGCCGGCAAGTTGGCGGACGCCATTTTGCTCTTCTTTGCCTAGAGTTAGAAAAGGTTTTTCGTGCTCACGGGGGCTGGAGGTCTTCAAGTCGAAAAAAGGCAAAGAAGGTCTGGGTGGGGACTCGATGACCGTTCCAGCTCTGGTACCTGAGGCACTGGTGCCAGACTGAGCAGGCCTGGTCAAGATCATGTCCGACTCTACACAGGCCAGAGGGGCCTGCACGTCGTCTAGCGGGCTGGTACACAGGTGGTGCTTGGCTGAGAGGGGGGAGAGGACCTTCGCCGTTCTGTTCTTGGCATAGTACACAACTCGACCACGTTCCATGCGGACTGGTCACCTGCCGGGGTGAAGGTCACTCTCTGGTCTCTCACCTGCCGGGGTGAAGGTCACTCTCACCTGCCGGGGTTGCTGGTCACTCTCAACTGCCGGGGTGACCGGGGTGTTTACTGGTATAAGCTAGCACGCGGGGTAGGCTATTTGTCGAGTATTGCAGCAAGGATCAAAAGCCAGAAGTTCAAACAGAAACACCGCATTCCATTCTGCGAGCAGGAGGTGGGATGTCAGGGTTGTACAGTGAGGTCCCCCATGGCCCGCCCCAGCGTGTCTTTATTGGTTCCTGTTTCCGGTCTTTTCACCGGCTAAACTTTAGGCTAGTTTCGTTATCCTGGTAAGCCATCTGAAAGTAAAAAAGGTGGAGGTATGTAAGCTGTCACGTGATGGGGTGGATCAACACAGGTCACGTGACCTTGTGTACACAGCACGCGCTTATGTAAGGGGAGGTAATTAAATAAAGAACAGTCGGAATGTCTGGAATGTCTCAAATTACAGGGAGCGGGGTGGGTGGGGCATGTTGTTTGTTTAGGGCGCTAAGGTGGAGAGACAAGAAGACAGAGGGTAGGACAATGTAACAGGACACTGGGTAGGACCATATGAAAGGACATTGGGTAGGACCATATGACAGGACACTGGTTAGGACCATGACAGGGCCTAAGATGTTGACGGAAATGTACAAAACTAGGGGGGGGGGGGGGTCAATGACGTCATGTGTACCAGACACTGGAAATGTGTACACAGTGAGTATGCCTTAGGCTGTCATCGATTATCCGTACCCTTGTCAGTGAGTCTCACTGATAACAGGGCATTAACTTTACAGAGGGCATCACTGTAACAGGGCATTAACTTTACAGAGGGCATCACAGTAACTGGGCATTAACATATCATAATTAGTTTTTATTTAATCATGTCCACATTTTCTAACCCCTGAGATAGGCCATTTGAATTATTTTCCATCTAGATCTTCCAGACCATCACGCACTGCAGTGTTCTTAAACTAGGCAGTCGAGGTAATTGATACACTTAGAATTCTAGATTTAATTGTTGAACACAATCAATAGCTCGCGAGGTAATCTGATCTGCATAAATTACCGGTAGAACACACATGGGTCACCAGCATAAATTACCGGTAGAACACACATGGGTCACCTGCATAAATTACCGGTAGAACACACATGGGTCACCTGCATAAATTACCGGTAGAACACACATGGGTCACCTGCATAAATTACCGGTAGAACACACATGGGTCACAACACATTTTCGTGACTCGCCCTCGTTCTAGATCTTTACGATTATTCAGTGTTTCTTTCATATATGTGTATGTGGGGGCAGTGGCGTAGCGAGGTCGGGTATCATCCGGTGCGGCACTTAATGGTGTCACCCCCAGAGGCGTAGCGATTTGCACCCCCCTCCCACCTCAAATGTTCGATTTGCACCCCTCCTCAAATTTTCGATTTGCAACCCCCCCCCCCCCCCCCCTCGAACTTTCGATTTACACCGCCCCCCTCAAGTTTTTCTCTATATATTTATATATTTTGCTATTTTTTGCTTTGCCTTGGTGTCACCCCCCTAAATGGTGGGTGTCAACCGGTGCGGTACGCACCCCCCCCCCCTCGCTACGCCTCTGTGTGGGGGGGACTAACTTTATTTCGACCCCCCCCCCCCCCAAGGATATTGAGATGCGTCTAGAATACTAGTTCTATAAGACACTATACCCAGATCATGTATCGACTATAGTGTCGCAGTAGACCTCGCTCTAGATCTAAATCTATTATAAATTATATAGATCTAGTCTATATATTAATATTAGGGCATATAATTATTAGTCTAATAGAACTTAGATTTAGATCTAGAATCTAGATCTATATACTATGTACTATATAGTATATAGCCTACCCAAGCCTAATGGACAATTAACCAGTAAATTGTATAACTTGGTCTTTAATTTTAGTAGGCCCTAAGGGCATAATACACGATAATATGATAATATACTATACGGTATCGTTTTATAGATCTAGACCAATATAGACTAATAGAATCTAAATCTAGATCTATAATTAGTACAGTAGATATAGAATCTTGGCATAAGCAACAATTTAAATATTTTATAATTTAATATTAATTATAAATTAATTATTGGTCGTTGCTTTTTATAATTATATCTTTTTTACTTTCTCGTATATACGAAGTATAGAGAAAGTATTGTAATCGTGCACAAAAATCACTTGAAATTTTAACAATTTTCACCGTATTACACCTCAGTCCTTCATCACATCCGAAGTATAGAGGACTTATTTTAATCGGGCAAAAATTATCAATCCAGATGTATCAAAATTAAGAGGTTTTGTGCGTAATCCAGTCTGAAAAACTGGGCTTTGCAACTCTGTCCGTATGTCTGTGTGTGTGTGTGTCTGTGTGTCTGTCCGTGTGTAAACACGATTACTTGAGTACCGTTACAGCTAGGTTGATGAAATTTCATATATAAGTAGTTTATCAAAATCGTAGATCCGTATCAACTTTTGAGCGATTTCCGAGAACCGGAAGTGGTACTTTTTCTACTTTGAATTTTTAAAAAGCCTATAACTTGAGTATTATTTCACATAGATAAATGAAATTTCACACATAAGTTAAAGATCTAATTCTCTACCTTCTGTTAAATTTTGAGTAATTTCCATTGACCGGAAGTAGTAATTTACGCTACTTCCGATTTCTCAAAAAACTAATGTAAATTTTTAAAGTACTAATAATATTGCGCACTATTAAACACTCTTTTATTTAGCGTTCACTTGGTGTGCAATTCATTTGTCTACGAGATTTTATTCTATTTTTAAAACTTTAAGTATTTAAAATTGATTAAAAATCATGTCTATAGCCCGAGTTCCCATCCCCTGTTGTTTTTTATAAGAATATTCGAGAAAGTTTAGGGGAGATCACTCCCGGTTTATTTATTATAACTCTAGTCTTACGCCTAGATCTAGAATCTAGAACTTACTTCATTTTTAAATTAAAATATCCAAGTTCTTGATCTAGTAGTTTAATCCAAGCAGTTGCGAAATTCACTACACACTACACATTCGATACATAACAGAAATATGCCTCTTCGAACGTTTAATCCACACTGAAACAACTGCGCGGTTGTTTATCAGCGACACAGGATGTGTGACACACAATGCTCTACCAGAAACTAGAATCGTGTAGATCGAATCATCAAAACAAGCGGCCTACGACTGCGCGTAGTATTTCAGTGGACGACCTCTCCCGGTGTGTGCAAGCGTGGCCTGTGACGCGGGTAGCGCGCGCTGCGGATGGCGGTCGATGGAAGGCGGGTGGGGCGGTAACGATCCGGCGTTAGGCGAACGTCGGGACAGACCGATGTCGTCCCATCGTGGCAGTTGACAAGAAGATAATCAAATCCACTCGTTCGTTGCTGAATTATTGTCACCCGTCGTTTGTCACAATTACACACACGCTAAATATGTCACATCCATTGCGCTGTTGGATGCACTTTAGGGGAAAAAATATTTGAAGGCGAAAAAACCGGTGGTGTAGCTAAACATATGGTCACGCTTTAATACTTCGTACGGGTAGTGGTTAGGGTGGACCACGTTGGTAGTGGACCATGGCTATGTTGGTAGTGGACCATGGCTATGTTGGACAACTGGCTGTGTTGGTGGTGGGCTATGGTGGTTGTAGTGGATAGTGTATGGCTATGTTGGTGGTGGACCATGGCTATGTTGGACAACTGGCTATGTTGGTGGTAGTGGATAGTGTATGACTGAGATGGAGATGGTCTTTAACATTTCTGTGGACCATATGACGTAACCAAACCTCTCCATCGTACTCGGTTTCAGGATTCCTCCAAGTTGGGCCCATGAGATCCCAGTTCTTACTGCTCCAACGGCAATTCATCTCTTCAACTTGGTGATTGACCATCGCTTGGGGTTTGCGTCATGCTGTGTGGCCTAATCAGAGCCGGCGTTAGGGGGTGGCAAACGGGGCGGCCGCCCCAGGCCCCGCGCTTGAAGGGGCCCCGCGCTTCAGCAACGCCATTGTTGTCTGAATTAGGTTGTAAACTTAAATAATCTTTGCTGAATTAAATTTAAAAAAAAAAAACCCAACTAAATGGCCGAAATTGTTGGATGTTAAAACAGAGGCCACGGCTGATGTTAGTGAGTTATCCTCTACATTGACTGGGACAGACCGTTATTCTAAAGAAAGACATTAGTGTCACACTTCGTTGGCACGGTCGACTCGCTATTGTCCTGAGGTGACTGGAGATGGCGGTCGCGAATTAGCCCCCGACCTGACATGGGAGGTAAAATCGGGAAAAAGGTAAAAAGATACCCTATTGTTTGCGGACCGTTGAAGACGTTTTTTTAGTGAGCAGGCGGGGGTGCCTGTAGTAAACAGTCAGTGACCTGCTGATGGCTTGCAGAGGAGGAGGGGGGGGGGAGAGCGGATGGGGACATGCCCCGGAAATCCAGAGCATTTATCCCTAAAATCATAATTTATACACTGTATGGGCATCTTTTGTGTAATTATGCATATTCACCACGACACGCTTGATAGGCATCCATACAGTAATTATGTTCATATTTATTTTATATATTGTCAGGTCATCTTTAAATACATTATACTTGTGTTTATTTTGATATTTTTGAAGGGCATTTATACAGTAATTATGTCCATTTTCATTTTGGTAAACTTTGACGGTATTCGTAAAGTGATTAAGCACATGTTTATTTTAATTAATTGTAGGGACAGTGGCGTAGCGAGGTCGGGTGTCACCCTGTGCGGCACTTAATGGTGTCACCCCCCCCCCCCCCGGGAAAAAACTTTCAAACTTTCGATTTGCACCCCCCCTCCTCAAACTTTCGATTTGCACCCCCCACCTCAAACTTTCGATTTTCACCCCCCTCAAGTTTTTCTCTATATATTTTGCTATTTTTTGCCCTGGTGTCACCCCCCTAAATGGTGTCACCCAGTGCGATCCGCACCCCCGACCCCCTTCGCTACGCCTCTGTGTAGGAATATTCAGTATGATAGTTAAGGCCATAGTGATTCTTGTTTTAAAATAGTGTAGGCACACTAAACAAATTATAAAGTCTATACTGTTTGATACATCGGGCCGAGACTGTTTTATGGTAAAGTTCTCCTGATTTCTAAAACGTCTAAATTACCGGCAGTCCGAGCATGCCATCGCTAAAGTCATAAATAACATGAAGCTGGCTGTCACATGGTTCACTTTCTATTTATAGACACGGACCTTCTCTTGTGAGAACGAGGTCTTAATCTGTAATGTAATACGCGGACGCTCTATAAACACGCACCTTCTCTTGAATGGCTGCGGTCAGAGATCCAGTAACGTAGTACCCGAACTGATTTTTTTTAGGGTTTGGCATCCCATAGATTTAAATGCACTGTTATCCTTCACCCCACCAACTGCCACCCACCCCAGTGTTCCACCCTACTGAGCGTCCGTGATTAAATTTGAGAGTCATTTCATTTGGATATCTATAGCCGTAAACAGTGTTTTCACGATTCGAGCTTATTCCGAAATCTATCAATGTTTTGCTATTTTCCCCGGCATCCACACACTTTGAATGCCACTGTTGAGAGTACCAGATGAAAGCACGTTATCGGGTGAAGATGAGTTTAGAACAGAGTATTTCTTGTGTATAATGGATCAAGCAATTATTGGCATGAACACTCGATTTGAACAGCTACGACAATACGATTCACTCTTTGGGTTTCTCTACAACATAAACACAATGAGAAAATTAAATAATGAGGATTTGTTAAAAAGTTGCATGAATCTTGATATAGCGTTGCGATCGGTGAGCTCACGTGACTTAAACGGAGCAGATTTGTGTACAGAGCTCACAATGTTTCGAGAAATTTTGCCCGAAGGTCAGCCAAACAGTGCCTTCAGTACATTTGGAGTATTCGGGGATTCATTTCCCAATACGGCGATCGCCTACAGAATCTTGCTAACAGTTCCAGTCACAGTGGCAAGCGCCGAAAGAAGTTTCTCCAAATTGAAGTTGATCAAGAACTATTTGAGATCAACGATGTCCCAAGACAGGCTCTGCGGCCTGTCGATTCTGTCAATAGAAAAAGACATAGCCTCCAGTTTGGACTATGATGATATAATCATGGAATTTTCCTCACGAAAGGCCAGAAAAGTAGATCTTCGTTTTTGAACGTACTGGTAAGATTTTCATAAATAAACATTAATGTAAAAAAATCAGGTTTGAAGCTGACGTTCATCGTCACTTTAATGCGTGTCTCAAACTTATATCTGTTTTATTTTTTACTTTTCAAACTAAAAGCCTTAACAGGAACAAGCAACGTTTCAAAAGCACTTCTAAGTAAACAAATTATTTGTTAATCAGTGTCTTAATGTTAATACGACATTGATAAACAGCTTAAAAATACCATATATATCGTTATAAATATTAATTCGCGTTGAGAAGAAAAAAAAGGCCTCACTGTACATGTTTTAATTATACACCAATGAAAAAATATAAGGCCCCGCGCGGATGGTTGGCCATAGGCCCCGCGTACCCCTAACGCCGGCTCTGGGCCTAATTAAGGAACGTGGATCCGACGGCCGCCAGAAACCTGGGGTCTATGTACTGGCTGATACAGCTCGGCTCGGAGAATGCATAGGTGTGTCCCGATGGTTGGAATATCAGCTTCCAGCAACAGGTGAGTCCAGGTGAGATGTCAGGTGAGTCCAGGTGAGATGTCAGGTCTGGGGACCAGGTGAGATGTCAGGTGAGTCCAGGTGAGGTGTCAGGTCTGGGGACCAGGTGAGATGTCAGGTGAGTCCAGGTGAGATGTCAGGTCTGGGGACCAGGTGAGATGTCAGGTGAGTCCAGGTGAGATGTCAGGTCTGGGGACCAGGTGAGATGTCAGGTGAGTCCAGGTGAGATGTCAGGTCTGGGGACCAGGTGAGATGTCAGGTGAGTCCAGGTGAGATGTCAGGTCTGGGGACCAGGTGAGATGTCAGGTGAGTCCAGGTGAGATGTCAGGTCTGGGGACCAGGTGAGATGTCAGGTGAGTCCAGGTGAGGTGTCAGGTCTGGGACCAGATCAATTGGGGGTGACTGCTGTGTCACATGAGTAAGGTTCATTCGATCAACTGCCTTTGTTATTTATTTCAGGTGTTTTGTCACAGGTAGCGGCCCAGGTGATTTGTACACCTGTAGGGAAGACTATATATATATATATATATATATATATATATATATATATATATATATATATATATATATATATATATATATATGTATATATATATATAAGTATATCTGAAGGTCTACAAGACTTGACACCCCCCCCCCCCCCACCACGGCCTTACTACTCTGACCAACAGATGGCACACACACACAACAGCCTCCAGTATATATTTAGCTTTAAGCGGCAAATTAATCAATGTTTAATTAACCTTGAGCATGGCGTAATACAGAAAGCTGTGACTTGATTTTGTTTGCTCTTTTTACGCCAATACAAACAAGCTTAAAGTTGGAGTTGGCTAGGTCAAGCTACGATAGGAAAATGTTTTTAAAAGGTATGTGTTAGAATTTTAAAATTGGCCTGCCGTGCTTCAACCCCCCCCCCCCCCCCCCACCTTTCTAGCTACCCACCCAACCAAAAATATTGTCAAACAACAAAAACCTTGACGTAGACCACAAGCCCCTCCCCCTCACCCTTTACAACAACAAATTCTGAAAACATTGTTTCGTTAAATTGGGGTTTGAGTTTTTATGATGTTAAACAAGATTAAATGGTTGTTGTTATTTAGACAGTTTGTTTAGTTTTCATGTAGATTTTCTAGTCTTCAGTCAGACCAGCCGTATTTTAATTGGTGAATGTATAGCATCAATCTCATGCAGTAGTTTATGTAGCCGTAGGACCAGTCGTATTTTAATTGCGTTAATCTCATGCACTTCTTTAAGGGGGATATGTTGACTTCTATAGGTCCTTCACACTGTGGTCCTGTCTTAGTGGTCCTTCACACTGTTGTCCTGTCTTAGTGGTCCTTCACATTGTGGTCCTGTCTTAGTGGTCCTTCACACTGTGGTCCTGTCTTAGTGGTCCTTCACACTGTGGTCCTGTCTTAGTGGTCCTTCACACTGTGGTCCTGTCTTAGTGGTCCTTCACACTGTGGTCCTGTCTTAGTGGTCCTTCACACTGTTGTCCTGTCTTAGTGGTCCTTCACACTATGGTCCTGTCTTAGTGGTC